CGGCTTTGCCGATGCTCTCACTGAAGCTGCAAGGAGCAATCCTGTGACCAGTTTTCTTCCTTGAGTGTTTTAATTCAGATGTTCATGTCTTTTATCAATGAGCACTTGGCTGGGTGTCGCATGTACGGTCATTACATAAGGAATATTTGTAATATCACACCTTCGCGAGCTATGTTTTGTAACCCCGCTTCAAACTTCGTACACGACTACCTACCGACTGCCTATCTGTGAGGTAATGCCTGTCACACGTGGTGAATTTCACCGACCATATGGGTATGGTGTGATTGGTTGTGAGATTCCACGGGATACAGAAAGATGAGGTTCAGAACGAAAGCTTCGAGGTGATAAGAACCACGTGTCAATACCTGAAATGCTGGGACCTTTGGTTCCTCAGGGGGTTGTTTTCACCCACTTCCTCCACTCATTGCGACTGCTTATCACTTCCCCAATAAGGTGTGGTGCAGATGTCCGCAACTGTTGACTTTTCGACCTTTCGGGAGTCTTGCAACACTCACCAGCACCGAGCCTACGGTGTACCAATCATGTGCGGTATTACAAGATTTTACAAGTTAGCGCATCCATTGAAGTGTTGCGGATCTTTTTGCCTCCATTGCCCTTCTCAGTGGCTCTGTGCTTCTTTCTTTGTCGCATCTGGCTGCGACTGTGGTGTGGCCTTCGCTTTTTGTTTTCGCCAGCGAGCTTCGTTCGTTGCACCGATGATGGCCACTGCTTTTGGTTCAGAGAGCTCACCCTCCTCCAGCCACACAGTGATCACCACGCAGCGCAATGTTGTCACTGTCCGCGTCTCGAAAGCGCATATCGATTGGTCAATTTCTCGAAGGGCAGCAACTGAAAGGAAGAAAGAGATGGGAAGGGAGTGGGAGAAGAAATGAGGGGCAAGAACAGATGGCTGAACGGCTACAACCCTAAAAAGGAAAGCTGGTAAGGTTCGTAAAGTAAGCACATGGTTACAATACGGTTGAAATGAATCAACAAGTTTACAGTGCGATACACTACGGCGCATCGACTTCAAGAAGCCATTCCACATCCTACCTCCCTCCCACACACGCACTTCTTTCTTGAGCAGCCCACACTTCAAGAGAGGAGAGGATGTGCTTGCTGCTAACATATCCAGCAATTCCACCACCACAATCCATACAGGCTGCTGTCCGTCTTCTTTGAGGATATAGTTTTGTGCGTAGCTTTTAGATGAAGCGGAGTGGAGGTTCAGGCAGTACTTACACCCGGAAAACGGAGCATATGCAGTTGTAAAATTCACATTCCAACTTGAAATTCAGCTTTCTTGATTTTCTAACCATGGCTTCTCCGGCGCAAGTACCGCATCTCGCAGCCGTCGCAACCGACAGTGGCAGGGCACTCAGCTCCCGAGCAAACGCGTCGACCTTGGGAATACCGGCAGGATCCTCTTCCACGACAACCGCGTTCTCCCCCCTCACTTTCGTCGCGGCCGTCGCTGCATGCATCCTCGTCACTGCCGTCACCTCGTTCCTCGTTTACCTCATACGACGGATGAAATGCCATGAGCCAATCGGCGGCGACCTTCCGAGTCCACAGCGACCGCACCGCGTGTGGGTTCGCATCGGCGGTGGTAACAGCAACTCGACGAAGTCTGTCGGCCTCGACGCGTCACTCATTCGCTCTTTCCCAGTGATGATTTTCAGCACGGAAAAAGCCGAGTTTTCCGCGGCGGAACTCACAGAAAAGCTCGTGTCGCGGCAATTGCAAGATCTGCACGCCGACCAGGCCAGGAAAATTGAGAATTCTACCGCCGTGACTGTAGCGTCTCAGCTCAAAGCTCCTGATGCAGCGTCAGAATTCACCAGACTGGCTGCTGAGGCCGACAAATGTGCCGCCAATTCCGCCGCAAATCCCGCTCCTGATCACGTGGTTGTTACTCTGGACGAGGAAAACGCGTGTTTACGCGAGTGCGCGGTGTGCTTGGGTGACTATGACGAAGGGGAACGGATAAAGCTGCTTCCGCCGTGCGGTCACCGCTTTCACGCAGACTGCATCGATCTGTGGCTGTCGTCGAAAAGCACGTGCCCGATCTGTCGCAAAGACCTTCGTCCGGCTACGGTAAGGGCCGGCGAAACGTGCGAAAAGGGTTCGCGAACCCCGCGAAGAGTGAGCGAATCTGCCGAGGCTGGGGAGCGGGTCGTCACGATCGTCGTGCGCGAAGATAGCGGGGTTGTTCGTGAGGGTGGTAACGATGGGTCGCCAGCTCAATTAGAAGCTGTGATTTTGCGAAGAGACGGCGACGTTGGCGTTGAAGTAACTGCGGTCGTGGCAGCTGTCGCATAGCCTATGCTGAGCATCTGCCAGTTCGGGTCGGGGGTTCGTGGTTTTTTAGAAAGTTCTTCCTCGAACTTAGCGCTCTGGCTATCGACCACTGATAGTATAGTCGGACGATTTTTCGACGCGTAAGAAGTCTCGAAGCGCGTCAAGCTCAGGAATAAGTGCTGCATGGTAGCGCAGTAGTACGTAATCTCTCAGCTTCAACGCTCGTTGGTTGCACTCTCAGATTCAAGGGGACTCGCGGAGAGCTGAATTTAGCTTTCCGCTAATGGGTTGTTGAAATGACCTCGGGGGGTGTGTTGTGTTCCAATCGATTTTCCCCACCACCCCCCACAAGTTTGACTCGTCGTGCGTTTGTACATGTACGGTACGGGATTAATGATATCAGGTTGCGTTATCATCCTCATAGGAGGCTGGGATACATCCGTAGGTTGGGGGGGTGGGCAAGAGTGAGCATGGATAAGTGAGCGTATACAGAAGTGAGTGTTGTGCTGTGGTGGGTGGGACGTGGACGGAGAGGGAAGGGAGGGAAGCAAGCAGGGGAGGAGATTATATCCATGAAAGGAGGGACGCAAGCACAGAGAGAAAAGGGGCTGTTCAGTGGGCCACGGTGCAGTAGAGTGTAGAATATGAGTTAATAGTACCGGTATCTGCAGGATCACTGCAGCAGCCAAAGGCACTTACAGGACCATACCTCATCCCCTGCAAGCTTCCATTGTCTCCTCTAGACACAGGAGAGCACACAGTAGAAACACCGTATGAAGGTTTGCTACACAATTGCAGCATGCTAAAAGCGTGTCTTTTACAGACGTTCTCATTTGGTTAGGGTTGTTAGTGAAAATGATCGGCAAATGACAAGCCGTAAGCTGAGGTTGCTTGGAAACACAGCATAAGGTTTGGTAGATACCACTACAGACTAGGGAGTTGGAGAGTGTACGTACTATGCTGCCTCGCACCCATTCCATTGCCATCAAAAGCTGCACTACCAGTAGAACTGTCTTCAGACTCTCACATGCCAACTAGTCTGAGAACACTACCAGCTCAGCAGCATTTGCAAGCAAAATACATAGTGGGCATCCCAGTCAGAGGCCCATCAAAGAGCAGAGAGCACCCAACCCAAAGCAGCAGCGCCAGGGACAAGACCAGGCAGGCTCTGCCTGCAATAGCCGCTGTGGCAATTATGACCATAGACCAGCGGCCAGCGGCCAGCCTAACCAGTGACGTTGGTACTGCCGCACCCGCATCCAAATTTACTGCTCTCTGCACGCTCAGCAGCAGCTTCAGCAGCAGCAGCAGCTGCAGCTATGTTACCCACTAACCTGCAACCCCACCCATCTCTCCGCATGCGAAAATCTCCTCACTGCCCACTGTACCGTCAACAGCAGCTGCATGTCCAGCAGCAGCAACGCACATACCAGTAACAGTTTCCTGCAAGCAACAGCCTATGCAGCAGCAACAGCCTATGCAGCAGCAACAGCCTATGCAGTAGCAACAGCCTATGCAGCAGCAACAGCCTATGCAGCAGCAACAGCCTATGCAGCAGCAACAGCCTATGCAGCAGCAACAGCCTATGCAGCAGCAACAGCCTATGCAGCAGCAACAGCCTATGCAGCAGCAACAGCCTATGCAGCAGCAACAGCCTATGCAGCAGCAACAGCCTATGCAGCAGCAACAGCCTATGCAGCAGCTACAGCCTATGCAGCAGCTACAGCCTATGCAGCAGCAACAGCCTATGCAGCAGCTACAGCTTATGCAGCAGCAACAGCCTATGCAGCAGCTACAGCCTATGCAGCAGCTACAGCCTATGCAGCAGCAACAGCCTATGCAGCAGCTACAGCCTATGCAGCAGCAACAGCCCCTGTGCTCCCATGCAGCTTCTTCAAGCTCTCCTCATGCAGAAACCTCCGCACCGCTCTCTGCACCTTCAGAAGCACCTTATCAAGCTCCTCCATATTCACCGCCGTCACCGAGCGATCCCTCGCACACAGGAAACACGCCCTCACGTTCCGACACTCCTTCTCCTCCAGGTTCTCCCACCCGCCCTTAGCTAAGCAATCGTCGGTGTAGGTGGAAGCTTCTAGGTGCGTGTTCTCCCACATGAAGTAGTTGACTCCGTGGCGCAGAGCGAGGTTCTTGTAGGCATCGGAGTGGAACTTGAAGGGGAAGAGCTCGAGGACGGTGCTGCCTGGGGGGAGGAAGATGAGGTTGCTGAGGGAGGCCCCGTGCATGCTGATGAACAGAGCTGTGTGCTGCAGGGGGAGGAGGGGGGAGGACGGGGGGAAAGGGAGGGTGTGAGTGGTGGAAAAGGGGATGGAAGGGCTCGACTCAGCCGTGCTCTTGAGATGGCCAGGCTCTTGTTATGCGGGTCCCTGTGAGCCAGATAGAGAGTGCGAGGTTTTTGCAGGCGTGTTCTGACTCCCACATGAAGTAGTTGATTCCGTGGCGCAGAGCGAGGTGCTTGTAGGCGTGGGAGTGGAACTTGAGGGGGAAGAGCTCGAGGAGGGTGCTGCCTGGGGGAAGGAAGATGAGGTTGCTGAGGGAGGCGCCATGCATGCTGATGAACAGCGCCGTGTGCTGCAGGGGGGGATAAGGGAGGAGGAGGGACGGACGTAGAAGGGATGGAGGTGTGAGTTCCGTTTGTTGAAAGGAGTTGGCTCCTCTTGTGCGCGTCCCTGTGGGGCAGGTCAAGCGGGGTTCTTGTAGGCGTGGGTGGGAGTGGAATTTGAGGGGGAATAGCTCGAAAATGGTGCTGCCACGTGGGAGGAAGATGAGGTTGCTGAGGGAGGCGCCATGCATGCTGATGAATAGCGCCGTGTGCTGTGTGTGGGAAGGGGAAGGGCGTGAGAGATAGAGGGAGAAGTTGGGGGAGGGATGGGTTGAGGTATGTCAAAGATGAGGTTGCTGAAGGAGGCGCCGTGCATGCTGATGAGCAGCGCCGTGTGCTGTGAGGGGGGGATGGATGGGGGAGGGGAGGAAGATGGAGGGAGAAGTGGCGCGGGTGAGATGGGCTGAGGTGCGCCGAAGATGAGGTTGCTGAGGGAGACTTTTGAGTCGACTCAAAAGTCAGATGGAGGGAGAAGTGGCAGGTGGGATGGGCTGGGGTGCGCCGAAGTGATTTTTGAGGGAGACTTTTGAGTCGGCTCAAAAGTCAGATGGAGGGAGAATTGGCGGGTGGGTGAGGTAGGCTGGGGTGCGCCACAGTGATTTTTTAGGCGCCTCAAAAAGAAGTGGCGGGTGGGATGCTTTTGAGTCGACTCAAAAGTAAGATGGAGGCAGAAATGGTGGGTGAAATGGGCTGGGGTGCGCCGAATATGATTTTTGAGGCGCCTCAAAAAGAAGTGGTGGGTGAGATGGGTTGGGGTGCGCCGAAGATGAGGTTGCTAAGGGGGGCGCCGTGCATGCTGATGAACAGAGCTGTGTGCTGCGGGGGGGGGGATGGATGGGGGAGGGGAGGAAGATGGAGGGAGAAGTGGTGGGTGGGATGGGGTTTGCTGAGGTATGTCAAAGATGAGGTTGCTGAGGGAGGCGCCGGGCATGCTGATGAACAGAGCTGTGTGCTGCAAGGGAGAGGGGAAGGGAAAGCGGTGGGGAGGGGAGGGAAGTGTGGGGGAGGGAGGGAGAAGATAAGTGGGCAAGAGGAGTATTTGAAGCAGCCCAAAGATGACATTGCTGAGGGAGGCAGGCGCCGTGCATGGTAATGAGAGCAGACTTTTGAGATGTCTCAAGAGAAGATAAGTGGGCAAGAGGAGCATTTGAGGCGGCCCAAAGATGACATTGCTGAGGCAGGCAGGCGCCGTGCATGGTAATGAGAGCAGCGTGTGTGCTGTGGGGGAAAGGAGGAGAGGGGGAGAGGGAGGGCGGGAGAGGGTAGTGACGGGGATAAGACGGGATCGGCAGGGGCATCAGATGGAAGGGAAGCTTCTTCAGCTTTTTCCTCCGAGGGGGGATTAAGAGTTGACTGTTGAACTCACCTGAAGCAGAGTCCCTCCAACCTGAAGCAGCACCTGATACCCCATCTGAGAGAGTAGAGCACAAGAGCTAGGTGCACACGAAAAAACCACCCACCCAAAACGGCAGCGGAAAAATACCCCTGAAGCAGCACCTGAAATAGCACCTGGGAACCCACCTGGAAGAGAGCCATCTGCTCGAGCAGCGATGAGTCGGCAAGTTGGTACTAATTGGTGAGCCTCCTACCTACAAAAGCACCTGATATAGCACCTGAGAACCCACCTGGAAGAGAGCCATCTGCTCGAGCAGCGGTGAGTCGGCAAGGTGGTATTGGTTGGTGAGGTGGCAGGGGAAGAGGTCCTTCACATGCCACCCCACCACTCTCAACCCCACCTTGCCCACCTGAAACAGTGACCCTAATAGCTGGAAGAGCACCTGATACAGCAGCCCCTTCTGTCTCACCTGAACGAGCAGAACACCTGAAACAGCACCCACCTGGAACAGTGCCATCTGCTCGAGCAGGGGCGAGTCAGAAAGGTGGTATTGGTTAGTAAGCAGGCGGGGAAAGAGGTCCTTCACATGCCACGACACCTCCCCCATGTTGCTCACTGTGCGCTGCTCCTCCCTCTCCACCACTGTTACTTCCATCTTTCTCTCAAAGTCGTGCCCCCTTAAAGCCGCGTTTAAGACCTCGTCTCCCTGCCGGATCACCACGCGTGCGAGCGCGTGCGTTCTCTCTCGCTGAATCACCTCCTCCCGAAACCTCTTCTCACTCTCCTCCTCTCGGCTCTCCTTGGTTTTACTTGCCGGCTCGGCTTCGGCTCTTCGTTGCTTCTCCTGCTCCTCCTCCCCCATCTCCATCTCCTCCTCCACCTCAAAATCCCCGTTCCCATCCCCTGTCACCCCATTCTCCTCCCTCCGCTGAAACACCTTCGCAGCAACCTCTGCCAGACCCCAAGCCTCCTCCTTAAACCCCTGAGCAGACGAGTTTAAATGCCGAGCATTCAGCACAAACGCCACCTGATCGAAGCACACAGGCCGGCCCTCCCTGTGCCCAGCTAAAACCTCCGACGCCGGCCCGAAAAGCATCTGAGCGATCCCAGCCGTCCATTTGCTCCTGATCGTTTTCTCGCTGGGAAAGAACAGCGAGAGCTCCGCTCCCTCCTTCTCCCTCCTCCTCCACCGCTGCCGCCTCCTAGACCTCTCCTTCTCACTCCATTTCTCCCCCAGCGCCCTCGGCCCTCCCACCTTGGCATCCCCCCACTCGGCCTCCTCGTCCTCCCCAAACGCCCCCTCCCTTGGAAAGTGCCGGGAAACTTCCCACATCGCCACAGCAAACTCGCCGAAATGCCCGATGTGAGTGTCGTACCTCCCGACAATCCCCACCCGCCTCCGAAAATCATTTGGGTTGTTCTTCAGCAGCTTTTTCCGGGCAGTCGGGCTGCTCTCCGCGATGAACTGCCCGAGCGCGGGGTGCCCTAAAAATCTCCCGTACGTTTTATTCTGCCGGAGCTTCAGGATCGGGAGATCGTGGGAATCCGAGAAAAGGGGTGTGGTATCCAATTCTTTCCCAGGCTTGAAAACAGAGCACATGCTCTTGCCTAGATCTAGCTTGGACAGGTCACGGTAGTGGCCTGTATTCATGAATCCCCCTGCTCCTGCTTTGCCCTCTTTGAGCCCAGGAAAACGGCTGAACCAACCCCCTCCGCTGCTGCTTCCTTCTCCTGCTGCTCGTCCTAGCAGCCTCCTCCTCTGCCTGCTTGCACCGTGATCTAAACCCTCACTCAGAAACTCGCTTGCATGCACTTCTCCCTGCCCCGCTTCCCCTCCCTCCCCCTCTTCCCCTCCCTCCCCCTCTCCCCCCACCTTCTGCTCCCTCTGCCGCTCCTGCTCCTCCTGTTCCTCAGGCGAATATGGCCCCACTAGCTCCGACCCTCCGCCACTACTTAATAGCCTCCTTCTGCTGCTTCCCTTGGTCACTCCCCTTGGCTTCTTCCAGTCAGGCGAGTATGGCCCCACTAACTCCGAGCTATTCTCACTCATAGCCTCCCTCACAAACCAAACACCTGTGTACGCGTTATGGTACGCCCCTTTACCCGCCATAAACAGGTAGCACAGGTCCTGAACAAGTAACATGCACGAGTAATCGCGCTTCTGCTGTAACAGGTACGCGCCATGCACGCGCGGTAACGGCGTTACGTGCCACCTGGCGCTCATCCGTTCGTAGAAAGGTTTGGGGGTTCGGGTTTTCGGGCCTGTTTGTTGCTGCTGGGCGGCAAGGTTTTGTTGCTCCTGGGCGGCAGTCTTTTGCTTCTGGGCGGCAGCTTCCTTCTGCTGGGCGGCAGCCTCCTTCTGTTGGGCGGCAGCCTTTTGCTGCTGGGCGGCAGCTTGTCTCTGCTGGGCGGCTGCTTCCTTCTGGGCGGCTGCTTCCTTCTGGGCGGCTGCTTCCTTCTGGGCGGCTGCTTCCTTCTGGGCGGCTGCTTCCTTCTGGGCGGCTGCTTCGTTCTGCTGGGCGGCAGTTTGTCTCTGTTGGGCAGCAGCTTCCTGGGCGGCTGCTTCCTTCTGTTGGGCGGCAGCCTTTTGTTGCTGGGCGGCAGCTTCCTTCTGCCGGGCGGCTGCTTCCCTCTGCTGCTGTTGAGAACGAGCCTGTTTCTCTTGGGCAGCTACCTGTTTTTCTTGGGCGGCAGTCTGTTTTGCCGGAGTGATGGTGGGAGGGGGGGAGGAAGGAGGGGGGAGTGCTGGAGATGTGGAGAGGGTTTGCACGGGGAGTGGTGAGGGAGGAGAGGTGTGGGAAGCGGTGGAGGCAGTATCACCACTGTCACTGCTGCTGCTGCTGCCGCTGCTGCTTCTCTTGTCGTTCTTGCTGTCTTCTCTGCTGCTCGTTGTGCTGCTGCCACCAGTGCTGCTGCCGAACTCACCATTGCCTGAGGTTTTTCCGTCTTTGCCACCCTCAACAGCACGAGAATCAGAAGCAGCACCACCAGCACCAGCGTTAGCACCAGCATCAGCATCAGATGCACCATCAGCAGCAGCATTAGCACCAGCATCAGCCGCACCGTCAGCAGCATTGGCGCCAGCGTCAGCATCAGCATCACCACCAGCACCAGCATTATCAACAGAGGCAGAATCCGTAGCAGCAACAGCAGCATCACCTGTGCCTGCAGCAGTGCTGGTGCCACGGGTTCTAGTAGCTACCATGGGTGTGCTTGTAATGCTTGTAGGGGTGATAGTAACGGGTGTTGCTGTGACAGTAACGGTTGTGGGGATGTTACTATCAGTGTCCTTGAGAGTGCTGGCAGGTTGAGTCATGGTTTTGGGGGTGCTGCTGATGGCAGCAGCAGCAGCAGCAGCAGCAGCATTCCCCTTGCTTGTCAGAAGTGCGGGGGTGTCAACAGGTGTGGTAACAGCAGGTGTGGTAACCGCGGGCGTGGTAACAGCAGGTGAGGGTACAGTACGTGTGGTAACAGTACGTGTTGTAACACCAGGTGTGGTAACAGCAGGTGAGGGAAGAACGGCTTTTGTAACAACAGGCCTCGGTGTGACGGCTCGGTTTGAATGAAAGGGGGAGGGGGTGCCATGAGAGTGGGAGGCGATACTAGAGGGGGTGGGGAAGACACGAGAACGGGAGGAAGAAACACGACCGGAGCTTGATTTACGGCCAGTGGTAGAGAGGTGAGCAGCGGCAGCATCGAGATGAGCGAAGAAGCTGAACCGCGAGTCAGATGACACAGAAGATGAAACCTCCGGCGTTTCATCTGGAGTTTCATCTGATGAGGAGGAGGAGCGAGAGAAGGAAGACCCGGACCCTGAACTACTAGATCTAGATCTGCTGTTCAACACGTGGCGTGTCTCTCCTGCTGCGCCTCTTGCACCTCTTGCACCTTCTCTGGCCTTAGCATTGCCCATTCTCCCTCCCTCTCCTCCCTCTCTTCCCTCCGCTCCGCCCTTCCTTCCTTTTACCACCTTCCCTCCTTGCCCTACCCTCCCCTGCTTCCCTTCACTCCCTTGCTTGCCCCCTCTCCCCGCCTGCCCTCCTCTCCCTCGTGCTTGAGACGAGGAGGAGGAGGAGAGGGAGAGGGAGGGCAATTCTATGTCCACGACAGACCCGTCGTCCACGTCAGCTTCTATGTCAAGGTCACTGTCCACGTCAGCATCGTCCGAGAGGAACTGGGCTTTGCGTGACGACAGCTGGCGGGTGGAATGGCTAACGAGAGCGAATACAGGGGAGGGGTTTTGAAAGGGAGAGGAGGAGAGGGGGGAGAGGGCGGGGGAATATAGGGAAGGCGGGAGTGGGTTTGAGATTCCGTGTTGGTCGAAAGAGTAGGAAACGGGGTAACAGAGACTACGAGTAACAAATGAGAGGTTAATCTCACTCTACATGTCAGAAAAAAGTTTAGATTCACAAGAGATGAATCATCAACCCACGTCACGTGTGATAAGTCACCACTCACATGTCATAAGTAATCAAATCGCATGTCTCATCAACTAACATGTGATCAGTCATAACTCACATGTCATAATTCTTCAGCTGAGCATCAGCTTCAGTCACATGCAAGTGGCAGTTACCCCCAGGGCACGACCTTGCACCGTTGATTATCAACTCCAGTAGAATCACAGACAAAATCCCATTCACTAAAGTCACACCCCCAACCAGCAGCATGCACCGCCGGTACCGCCCTAATTTCCCGCTGAATCCGCGCATCCAAGTCTCCGAACTCCCTCCGCTTTCGCCTCCCCCTCCCCGCCCCCCTCCCCAGGGCGCAAGCGGGCTTCCGGATCTTGCCCGGGGGAAGGGGAAACTCTCCCTTCCCCCGCCGCCTGCGCTCTTTGCTGCATTCTGGTGCGCGTTCTTGCCCGCGCGGGATTTGGCAGGCGCTGAGTCGTCGAGTACGTAGCTAGTCGGCTCGGCGGGTTGCAGGAACCACAGAGTGCCGCCGCGATTTACGGCGCTGCTGCTACTGCTGCTGGTGCTGCTGCTGCTATCCTTATGGGTGCTGCTGCTTTCCATACTGGCGTGTGCGAGGCGCTACTATGTTGTTGCTACAGGTAAGTTTTCGCCGGTCGTCATCCCCCCTACAGAAAAGCGATAAATTACTGCGTGTGGTAAGTGCAGCACCATGGATTGCCGCGATGACGTAGGGTTCGAAGAGGTGAAATCGACTGACCCTCTAAGAGTACGTCTTTTAAGTAAGGGTGCAAGACTTCGCTGTACAACAGAATCCGGTGCTGACGTGAATACTATGAATACTCGGTAAATCGCACTATGAACAGACGGCTTCCTAGGAAAGAAGCTCACAACAAGATGGTTCTAATCCTTGCACTCGTGGGTGTTTGCCGTATTGTATCGCAACTCATGATGTCACCCGGGGATCGCCTAACTAGCGGCGACGGGAAATGCTTCTGATTCGTAACGACCTAGTGTATGGGATTTTTAGTGGTGCTTCACCAGATCCTATTGTGCGGTTATGGAGGCTTCGAACATAGGCGGCACGAAACAATGACACTTTCGTATGCCGGCAAGAACCCAAATTTTTATTCTAACCTGCGCGACGGAAATGGTCGCTCAATGGAACCTTGTCGTCTCGTCATCCATTGCTCCTGATTCCTGAATGCCTGATGATTGTTGGTGATGGTTGTGCTGGCTTGGTCGCTCGCTTTTCTCGAGGTTGGTGCGGTTGGTTGTGGTACCGCCGTTTCTTGGGAATGCCGAGGTGGAGCTTGATGCCATTGGTCGGTGGCGGATTCGGGCAGGAACTTCGCAGCACGAACTTCGTCTGAAATATGATGTTACAGTTATGCAACTTGATTATAAGCAAAGCTGTACAATTTCCTGGTCCACATCAAGCTCTGAAGCTACCATTCTACTTTATCACCAGTACAAGCTCTGAAATATTCTATTAATATATCCCAATACAATTAAACGGCTCATAATGAGACGTTTCAAGGAAGAAGGATGCTTGTGCTTATTTTGTGAGCAAAGCAACAAGCATCTCATTATACAATGAGTATGCATAACACTGAGACTGCTTCAGGCGTTTACTGGAGTTTCGAATAATGTGCTCGCTGGGTGTGAAGTATTCGCCTCGTTGGCGCTGTCCTTTCTCAGCACGTGGACACCTTCAAGATTCTCGAGCTGCTGGTGTGGCAGTCCCAACCTCGCCCTGTCCAATCTTACTGGCCTCCTCGATCCCCACGCCCAGTCAAATTCCATCAACTCCCCCAAATCTCTGGCCGCTGACTCAGCTCCAGCACCATGAATTTTCATGAATTGCACAATTGTGCAGATTCAGGGAACCTGCTTTCAGATTCCAGATTCCACCGAGAGCCATACCCTCCTCTCCGCGTACTAATTTTGAATTCCAGTGTTAGTATACGAGGATTCTGGGCTAAATCTCCTTCCGTTCCCTCTCGCTTCTCCTGCTTCACTTGCTCCAGTCGGCAGTCACAATGGCTTCCCTCGCTATGTCGTCTGTTGCCACGGTTCGTCTTCCTCCGCTCCTTGAATTTCCGTTTTCTGTATTCGCGAATCTTTATCTGCCGACTCGTCTAACTTCTTTTCTCGATTTCCCGTTCAATGCAGAGGCCACGGTCCCTCCTCATTTTCCTCACTTCATCTCCCCCACCCCCCCCAACCCCCTTCCCCCCGCCCACCCCCCCCCCTCCCGCCCGGTCGTATTTGCATTCGCCATCTAATCCCCCTCCTCTTCCCCCATTCGCCCGCTTCCCCCCTCCTCATCAGGCTTCGCTTCTCTCTTCCGCGGAGTCTTCTTCCTTCGTGCAGGGCAAGACCCTTGCTGGTAAGCTCATAACGGGGATGGGGTGGGTTGCTCAAAGTGTGAAGAAGTGTGCGTGAGGATGATGGAGGTTGTTAATCTGCTGCAAGAACACCAGTCAGAGCGGACGGATGAGCTGGCTGATAGTTCACACACTGCGGAGTCATCTCTTCTCTGCTCGCACTCGAATTCTCTCAGGCAATCTTTATTTTTTTCGGTATCGTACGTTCTTGACCTGTCACACCATGGGTCTGCGTGTCAGTATTCGTCAATTCCCTTGTATGCCATTCTTATCCCATGCGTTTGTATCCGTCCCTTCCCGTGCCATCCCATGCCACACCATACCATCTGCACACAGGCACTGCCAAGACTGCAGCGGTGAAGTCCTTCCAGGTACCGCTTGATAAAGAGCTCCGCAAGAATCATGTCCAATTTAACTATACTGGAACAGCGAAAGTGGCCATACGATATTTTGCTATCGATGAACCCCATAAGCTTCATTTGACGCGAAGCACGTTGTGCGTAAGTGGCCATACGAAAGAAGCCACTCTCTTCTCCCGCCCTGTCACTCCACTCTCGCAACTCTCTCCTTCCGTACCGCTCTTCTTGTGTTCACTGGCTTGTTCCCCCCGTATCCCTCTGTATCCTTGTGTACCCCGCAATATCCCTTTGCATCCCTCTCCGTCGTTCCACATCTCGCAGCGTGCAGCAGTTCGTTGCCAGGCGTCCTCCGACGCGTCGTCCTCCTCCGAGTCCTCCTCTGCTCTCGTCCTCCCCCGTCGCCAAGCGATGCTCACTGCGCTCACCGCTGCTTCTGTAAGCACACACTCACCGCACGCCTCCTCGTGGTTTTTGCTCTTTTGAGACGTCCCACAAGTCGTCTCCGAGTCCTCCTCTGCTCTCGTCATCCCCCGTCGCCAAGCGATGCTCACTGCTCTCACTGCTGCCTCGGTGAGTACATGATTGATGCAGCGATCCCCCCCCTCCCATCCTGTCCCCTTCTCACCCTCTACTCTTATTTCCTCCCCTACTCTTGCTTCCACTGTTCCTCTCTGCATTAGTCTCTTGGCTATCGTCCTCCTTCCCCCGTTTCCCTCTCATCGTTGTTACTTGCTTCCTCTCTTCCCCTCGCCCCGCTCTGCGAGGGAGGAACAAGGCCCTTAACGATCGCCTGGTGTCCCTTCCCTTCGCTACCCTACCTCATTTCCCCCTTTCCTTTCCAGAGCCCGCTGTGGGTGCCTCTGCTGACGTCGTCCGACCCCGCGCTTGCAGCCAACATCGTGCAGCGCGGCCAACGGGCAGCCTACCTGAGTGAGTGCTGTGGGTCGTATGAAACGACTGGTTCGCACTGACTGTTGTGAGCGTTGCATCTGCCACAGCGCGGCCAGCGGGCATTGGGTGTTGCAATGAGCCACACAGCCATTGGGTGCCCTCTGTGGGTGCCTCTGCTGATGTCGTCCGACCCCGCGCTTGCAGCCAACATCGTGCAGCGCGGCCAGCGAGCAGCCTACCTTAGTGAGTGCGACGAATTGTTTCTGTGGGTCACACAGCGTGTTGCTGTGAGCCTTGCACCTTTCACAGCGCAACCACCAGCGAGCAGCTCATCAGAGCGCAGCCTCATCCTTCTCATAAGCTTCTGAGAGAGCTTGAAAACAGCAACACAGCACCTCCTGTTCCCTCTGGGTGACGCCTGCAACAGCGATTCCAGCTGCACAGAAGAGCAGCTGTGAAAGCCTAGAATTCCATAAAAATCATGTCTGAAATGAGTGCACTGCAACTCAATCTCTCTGCGTAGCTGCATTGGCAGGCTGTTTCTTTGAAAACTCATTTTATCTTGTTCCCGTCCCTCCTTTGCCATCTCCCCTGTGACATGGAACGAATGTGGCACTATCAGAGGGGCTCAAGGAAGATCTCTTCAACACCATCAGTGTAAGCCACTTTCTCCACCTCTCCTCCCATCCCATCACCCTATTTCTGAGTCGACCAAAGAGCCACTTTTCCTAGTTCTCCTCCCGTCGTCCTTGATTCTCCCTGTGTTTCTCCTCTTTGTCTCCCCTACGCACTTGTGCTTCTCCTTTCGTCCTTATGCTTCCACTTGTTCCCCTTTTATCATGTTCGCCCTGTGGTCACTGTAAGCACTTGCGAGGCAAGTCTATCATTTGAAAAACGAACCAATTCCATCACCTCTTCCTTTCACCTCTTTCTCGTCCCCCCCCTTTTCTCCCCGCCCCCCACCCCTCTTCCACGTGGCAGGCCAATAAGGAGCTTGTGCCTGACATCCTGCGATTGGCTCTCAACGATGCGGCCACGTATGACAAGGTCCGTGCCAGGTGTAATGCTGCTACTAATGCATGCTTGTGCCTACTAATCCGTGCATGCATGAAGCGCATGTCTCTCGGATGCATCATGCACGGATGCAATGCATGCTGTTTGCCTGTAGCTAATGCCTCCTTTACTCTTGGTGCATTTCTCCGATTGTCTTTTCTTCCTGTTTTTCTCCTTCAATGTCTCTGCCTGAATTGCAACAGGAGACAAAGACAGGAGGAGCGAACGGGTCCATCCGATTCAGGTACCAACTTACGACATTTCATGCCACGCCATTCCATGCCATGCAATATGCCATAGCATGCCATGCCATGGCCTGTCACTCGCCTGTTACTCTTGGTTAACAAGTACCAGTCATACTTCATCACTCTTTTTCCCTTTCTTCCACTCACTCATACCCATCACCACTCACGTCCACCCGTTTATCACCATCACCCCCTCTTCCCTTCAGCTAGTACCTCCACATCCCGACAGCAAGACTCCAGCTTCGATTTTCACGTGATAAAAGTTGTATTTTGAGACGTCTCAAAATACAACTTTTATCACGCAGCTTCGATTTTCACTCCACGACAAGGTTGTCACAACAATACAATCTGTAGGCACCATCCCCCATCCCACACCCCTGTCCTCTGCACCTTGGTTTCTCTACCCTCCCAGCGAGGAGCTCTCTCGCCCGGAGAACAAGGGCCTCAAGGCGTCCCTGCAGCTGCTGGAAACGATGCACAAACCCTTGCTTCTAGTACGTCACATCAGCAACCACTACTTCCCCACCTCCCTGCCGTCTGGACCCTCCCTTTCTCTTCTTCCCACCAGCGAGGAGCTCTCTCGTCCGGAAAACAAGGGCCTCAAGGCGGCCCTGCAGCTGCTAGAGGGAGTGAAGGCGCGTGTAGACAAAGACGCCAAGGGCGGGCCGATCTCCTACGCTGACCTGATTCAGTTCGGAGGTGAGGGTTGAAGCGGTGGGGAGTTAGTTAAATCTTGGAGCATTCGTGTAATGTCTCTCAAGGGCCTCAAGGCGGCCCTGCAGCTGTTGGAGGGGGTAAAGGCGCGCGCGGTCAAAGACGTTAAGGGCGGGCCCCTATCCTACGCTGACCTCATTCAGTTCGGAGGTGAGCTTGATCTGCCTGGGAGGTGAGCTTAAGCTGGTGTGGAGGTGGGGAGGCATAGAGCTTTGGTGTCTTCTGGAGGGGGTGAATGCGCGTATGGACGCAGATGCCAAGGGTGGGCCCCTGCCCTATGCCGATCTGATTCAGTTCGGAGGTGAGCTTGACTTTGTGCGGGGTTGAGAGTTGTGCTCTGCTTGCTCCACAGTTGATCCGTGAGGCACTGCGAGCTGCTGGGCGACTTGAGCTCACTTCATGCCCCCCCTTTCCCTGCCTAGAGGACCCATTTGGCGTTCCAAACAACCCCCCCCCCCCCCCCCCTCTCCACTCCCTCCCCTTCCCTTCCTTGCTGCTCGCGCGATCCTCCTTCCCACACAGCACAATCGGCTGTGAAGACCACGTTCCTGGCAGCAGCCACGCGCAAGGCAGGGGGCGATGACACCAAGGGGCTCAACCTCTACTTCGCTATTGGCTCTCCCGGACAGGTACTGCTGGGGGGGGAGATACTGCTGGTGGGGATACTGCTCTGGGGGGGGGGGGGGAGAGTGCTGCTGGGACAGGTACTGCTGGGGCTGGAGCAGGTAGCACTGGGGCAGGTAGCATTGGGGCAGGTTGTGCTCGGTGGATGTACCAGAGTGGGAGTAGCTGAGTGCAGGGCAGATCAAACCTTGCCACACTCACATTGGGCTGAGACTGTGGCACGTGGGCACACTCTTGTTGCTCCTTGGCCGCTTTCAAATGCCCTCCACCTTGTTATCCTTGCTCTCTCCCTCCACTTGCCCCTCTCCCTCCCCTATCCCTCGCCCTCCCTTCCAGTGGGGTTTCTTTGACAAGCAGCTGGGTCGGGTGGACGCAGAGCAAGCAAACCCGGCGGGGCGAGTACCACTCTGGGAGGAGCTCAGCGCCGCTTAGATCAAGGAGAGATTCGCCGCCCTGGGGCTGAAGCAGCGAGGCTCCAACTAGTGGTGGTCACCCTCACCCTGCCCCTCCAACAGTTCCTAACATCCCGATTGCTTGACTTGACTCTCCCTACTCTCCCCTCCTTGCCCTTCCCCTCCCAACTCCCATTCCTCCCTTCCAGTGGGGTTTCTTTGACAAGCAGCTGGGCCGGGCGGACGCAGAGCAAGCAGACCCGGCAGGGCGGGTCCCAGACTGGGAGCAGCTCAGCGCCTCCGAGATCAAGGAGAAATTCGCCGCCCTGGGCCTGAGGCCCCGTCAGGTGGTGACCCTGGCGCTGTTCCTGGGGCGGGACTTGGAGGCTGTGGAGGCGAAACTAGAGGGGGATGAGGAGATGAAGAAGTGGGTGGCCAAGTACAGGAAGAGCCGCACCACCGTGTCCCAGACTGACTATGAGGTGAGTCCCTGCTACTCTGTGCCTGTGGCTGGGGCTGGGGCCGTGGCTGAGGCTCAGGCCCTGCCAAGTGGTGACTCTTCCTCTGTTCCTGGGGCGGGACTTGGGAGGGTGTGGAGGCAAAGCTGGCGGGGGATGAGGAGATGAAGAAGTGGGTGGCCAAGTACAGGAAGAGCCGCACCACAGTCTCCCAGACTGACTATGAGGGGACGTCACATTGGGCTGAGCTTGGACTCTTGGGGTGAACACATGCTCGTTTGGGAGGAGCAGTGCGGAGAGCTGATGAGGAGCTCAAGGGGTGGGTGGCCAAGTACAGGAAGAGCCGCTCCACAGTGTCCCAGACTGACTACGAGGTGAGAATGAGCCGAGCCTGCTCTGGTGGGATGAATGCTTCCTGATAATGGTTCCCTTGTGTTCTTAAGGCTTTCTGACTGTACAACAAAGCTTGCTTATCCTTCCCTTATTGCATGCACTTTTTTGCCCCTCCCATCTTCCCACGTGTGATTCTCTCACCACCAGGTTGATCTGATTGGGGCATTTTTGAAGCTGTCTCTCCTTGGAGCACCCATTGATACCGAGGCCTACACCTTTGAACCACCCAGGGTGCAGTTCAGGCTGTAGGTTATGCTGTAGCGTTTTGTATATGTGAGCAAGCATGAAAATGAATAAGGCAATGCACGATGATATTTCCGAGGAATGCAAGCATGGAATGTTTGTGCAATCTGTGACCACTGTCATATAGGCAGGCCTTTCATGTAGAATGTGGAATAAGGGTACCTAAGTAAACATCCTCCTGGCATCTTCAGACATTGCGCCTAACCATATCACACCCAATATCAGACATCGCACTGTACTTACAGTCTGACCATTTTTTTTTCCGCATATTTAATCAAACTAGCCGGTGTGAATGGTAGGTATTACCGGTATGTTAGGAAGTATATGAGCCTCTTCCAGTTAAGAAATTACCTGATGAAAATCAAGATGTGCGTTATATACATAGTGGGTTTGATTGCCCTTCCACAAGAAAGTAGTATTTAGTGAAAAATAAACGCGTCAGCCACTAAGAGAGCAGGTGTCGTGCAGTGCGCTGCTGAGTTCACCTGGGTCGTACAACTGGCAGAGTTCTGTACATTTGGGGGCTCGTCGCGCCGCCCCCGCATTCTCGTCCCGCCCGCTTTCTTCCCCACCCAGTCATTCTGCAAGCCCTTCTTCCGCAAGCCACACTTCTGCGAGGCCGTTTTCCGAAAGCCCTCCCTCCACTCACCTCCGCCCCGCCCTCGTCACACCCGCCCACCCCACCCCGACTTTTGCGACTGATCATAACTCTCCCCTATCTTAGGGTCGTATTCACGAGCAGCCGAGTTGAATGATGCCCTTGATTCAATGGGGTTCTGGAGGGCATGAGCTCTGGTTCGGGTGTGGTGCTGCATACCAAATAGTCAGGTTTGGGTCTGGTGTACAGCGATGGGCTTCTCGGTTCGGGTTTGTCAATTTGTTGCAGGCTCGCGGAAGGTATGTGTCGCGGTTCCCACAACTGTTCGGGCTGCCCCGATGCTCGCTGGTTAGGGACCAAACATTTCCATCAGCAAAATCGAACCTGCCTGTTCAACCCTAATTTGGTGGGAGTTGAGCTGGGGCATGTTTGCGCTAAAGACAAAAGCTGGAGAAAAATTGGCGAATCTTCAATGCTGCCCCGCATCAGTGATGCGCGCATGGATGCTACCTCTCCACGACGCACCATGCGCGCATCAATGGTGCCTCGGTTTGCAAGGGGAGGATGGTTCCAGGAACGAGGTTTCGGTTCCCAAACCGGGGGCCCAAAAGACCGTTAGGCAGTCATTCAGCGTCAGTTCGCTTCGGTGCTCATGCGCCTATCCCAGGCCTTTTTAGCCGAACAACCGTTTATCTCAGAAGCTTCTCGGGTGGTCGTTTTACTGTAGCTGATACCCGAGCCTGTGCTTGATGCGCCTGCCGAACAGGGCCGACGTGAATGAGAATTCGAAGCCAGGCCTGCAAAGTGACAGCAGTAGCAGCGGAGAGCTCAGACCACCATCCAGCAGTCCATCCAGATAGGAACTTGGAAGAAAACTGCTGGGAATTCAGAGAACTCAGGGAACTTCGGAGAGGGTACTGTCACCGAGAGGACTTAGTCACCAGCCTTCACCCGTGACACGGCCCGTGCGTCTTGACGCCGCGCCTCAAAAGTAGATCATCTCGAGTCTTGCTGTGTATCGCCCAACGCTCGTCCTAGAAGAATCCCGTAATCTCTCTGTTGCGTGACGTTTAACTCGACTTTCAAGTCCTGACATCACTCGGCGAGCAATAGATGAGTCGACTATAAAATCCCCTCGGCCAGCAACCGTCTCAGTCGTCGTAACGTTCACCCCGTCACTCTTTTTCTGTAGCGCAAGCATGGATTCGCCAAGCACGGACTCGTTAACCGCAGATCCGTTACTAGCCTCCGCTGTTCCGGACTCGCCAGACGTCGACTGCCTTCCGCCGATCCACACACTACCCGACGAGCTTCTCGCGCGTATTCTCCTCCTCTCTCTCCGCCCACCATGCCCCTCCTCCCTCCGCTTCCCCCTACGCCGTCCACAAAGCTTGCTCCCCGCGCACTCCACTCCCCAAGCAGTCTCTTCCGCGTATCGCCCCCCTGACTTCGCCTCGTCCTCCGCCCGCTTTCCCCCCACTTCCGCATCTCCTTCCCATCCCACCGCATATTCTCCTTCTCCTCCAGCGCTGGTCTGCAAGCGCTGGCGCAAGCTCTCTCCCGCCTTCTCCGCTCCGCGTGCCACGTCTTCCGCGCAGATCCTCCGCGCGGTTTCCCGCCTGCCGTACGTCACGTTTCTGGACCTTCCGCGTGGCGCCGTCGTTGACTCCGTTGACTGCATCGACAGTGTTGACTCCGCCGACTCGCTATTCCGCGGAATAGCCGCTGCTTGCCCGCAGATCCGCTCCCTGCGCGTGGCGGAACAGCCTTCACTCCGCACGGCAGAAGAGCAGAGCGCCGAGTTGTCTTCCGCGGAGCTCCCCGCGCTGCCAATGATTTCCGCAGACCTACTGTATGCGCTCTCTCGCTGCCGCGCGTTCACTCATCTCCGCCTGATCAATTCCGCCTCCCGTACTTGCGCCGATACCGCCGCTTCCGCCGTTGCGGATGCCGCCGCAGTAGCATATTCCACTCCGCGTGCCAGTTATGCGGAGGGGAGTCGTTCGTGCGGAAGTTCTGATGCGCTTCTTCCGCGTTCCACTATCCTTCCGCCCTCCAGGCTTCCGCGTTACAGCAATCCTCCGCCCGCCTTAGATGTCCTCCACGTGTCAGGCCCCGATCACCTAAGCTACCTCTCCCCCACGCTTCCCCGCTTAACCTGCTTACGTCAGCTCCACGTCAGCAACGTCTCCAGCCTCCCCGAAGCGCTCAGCACCCTGCGCCAGCTCAGCATCTTAGAGATTAACGCGGAGCGCGACTTCCGGAGCCTACCCGACGCACTGTTTTCCAACCTACCTGTCCTGGAGACCCTTCACATTCGTGGCGCTTCGGAGTTAACCTCCCTTCCGGAGAGCCTAGGCGAACGTACCTCGTTAAGAGACCTCCTGATACAGTCCTGTGGTGTGGAATCTCTCCCCACCAGCCTGGGAAACCTAGGCAAACTCACTTCGCTCGTTTTAGTCACATGCAAGCAGCTGCTGCAGCTGCTGCCCGAGTCTATCAGCGGGCTCCGCTCGTTACAACGACTCAGAGTCTCCGAATGCCCCCGCCTCGCGCCTCTCCCGGACTGCTTCCAGCAGATGGTGACTCTACGGGAGGTGACTGTATCGGGGTGTGACAGGATCGCGTCGCTGCCGTCCTCGTTATTGCGCCTGTCTTGTATTGAGTCACTGGATGTGGAGTTTGATCACGGGCATATGTTCGCTGGGCTGCCGCAAAACCCGGAGGCGAGGAGGGGCGTTCAGGGTGGAAATACCACAGCCAGCCGTGCGGGTGGTGGTGGCAGCAGCAGTGGCAGTAGCGGTGACAGCGGCAGCGGCAGCGGTAGTGGCAGCGGCAGTGGGAGCGGCAGTGGCAGCGTCAGTAGTAGCGGAAGTGGCAGCAGTGGGAGTGGTGGTGGTGAAAGCAGCAGCAGCAGCAGCAGCAGCAGCAGCAGCAGCAGCAGCAGCAGCAGCAGCAGCAGCAGCAGCAGCAGCAGCAGCAGCAGCAGCAGCAGCAGCAGCAGCAGCAGCAGCAGCAGCAGCAGCAGCAGCAGCAGCAGCAGCAGCAGCAGCAGCAGCAGCAGCAGCAGCAACAGCAGCATTAGCGTTCTTTCTGGGCTGCCACAGAACCGAGATGTGAGGAGCGGGAGTCCGGGAGAAATAGACTTTCCTTGCAGAAGTGGCATTGGCAGAGGCAGGGGCAGCAGTGGGAGTGGCAGTAGCAGTGGCATCAGAAGCAGTGGGGGTGGTAGCAGCAGTGGCAGCGGCGGGAGCAGCAGCAGCAACAGTGGCAGCGGCAGCAGCAGCAGAAGTGGCAGTGGCAGCAGTGGCAGCAGTGGTGAAAGCAGCAACAGCAGCAGCAGCAACAGTGATGCAGATGCCAACGCAGATGACAATACCAGCAAGCCCTTAACTCTACTGAAATACCTCAAGCTCAGTAGCACACGCACCTCACTCCCTCCCTGGTTGGGTTATTTACCCTCACTTCAACACATTACCCTCGCCTCCTGTTGGAGCCTCCAGCATCTACCACCCTCTCTGCCCCTCCTCTCTCCTTCCCTCCAAACACTCCACATACACCAGTGTAATTCACTCACATCCCTGCCCGAAGATTTCGGGCAACTCACTTCTCTCCAGCACTTGGAGATTCGAAACTGCCCGGCGTTATCCCAGCTGCCCGACTCATTCCCTAACCTCTCCTCCCTCCAATCCTTGGACCTTTCATCATGCGGAAATTTGACATCCCTGCCCAGAGATTTCGGGCAGCTGACAGCTCTTAAGCTCCTTAGGCTTGCCTGCCTGTGCAAACTCGTTGAGCTGCCCGAGTCCGTCGGGCAGTTATCACAGCTCCAGTCCTTCGAGATCCAGGGATGCCCAAGAATTACTACTCTTCCTCCCCTCTCCCATTGCATATCCTTACATCACCTCCACATTGCAAATTGCAAGTCTCTCTCCTCTCTCCCCTCCGACCTCCCCTCCCTCCTATCCCTCCGCTCGCTCTACCTCCTCTCCTGCCCAGCCCTCCACTCCCTGCCCGAAAATCTCGGGCAGCTGCCCGGACTCTCATTCCTCGAAATCCGCAGCTGCAGGTCGCTCATGTCGCTGCCCGCATCCCTCTCCCTCCTCTCAACCCTCTCTTCACTCAAAATCGCCTGGTGCTGCAAACTCACCTCTCTCCCACCCAGATTAGATCACCTCACTTCCCTAACCTCTCTCTCCCTCATCGGCCTTCCCAGCCTTCGCACTCCTTCCCCTTCTCCCTCGGCTTCTCCGGGCAGGTTTTTCCGGCAGCAGCTGCCCGGATGCTTCCCGCAGCTGCCGAAGTGCTGTGTGCGTGTTGAGATTCAGGGGGTGGGCAGGGAGTGGGGCAGGGGGAGGGGCAGGGTGGTGGTGGTAGGGAGTGCGATGGAGAGGAGTGAAGATCTGTATCCTATGAGGAGGCGGTCTGGTTTTCTGACTTTCTTTTCTTCATTTCACCACCGGCAGCAGCAGCAGCAGCAATTGCATCACCGGTCACGACAGAACGAGCAGCAGCAGCAGCAGCAAGAGCGGGAGGAAAGGCATATTCGTTCGTGGAGGAAGCCTGTGGCATGTCTTCGGTCCATCCGACGGTTCTTGTCGAATGTGCATCATCGCTCACCCGTTGCTGCGCCTCTTGACCCACGGTTTCCTGACTGATTCGGTACTTGGAAGTGTGAGGACAACTGCAATTTGACATGATTTTTGTTTTGTTTGCACCTGCAAGGGGTTGTGGCTGTTTTTCTCACTATTGGAAGTACAGTAACGTGTATTGTATGTATGTTGTAAATAATGTACTTACAATCTAGTAATAATTTGCCTATTCTAATTAGTGTGTGCCTGGATAGCCCTTTCAAAACACAACAGATTCGAATTTGTTGAGTTCACCATAAATATAAAGCGAGCTTAATCATAGCGCAGATATAACGAATCGCCTTTGTCATTCCCGTTTGTCTCGATTCATCGCATCTTGTTCCTCACATTCTCCTGTGTGACTCATGTCCTGGGATGTGACCTGTCCTGCCTCGTCCCGTCATCATGTCTCGTGTTTGCTCGATCCATTCGCGGGATCAGACTCAAGAAGCACGAGCAGAAACCCCCTGCCTTTCAAATCTCCGCTGTCATGGTGTGTTGCGGTTCGGTACGTTCTAGACATAATGTTTGCGGTACAGAACGCTCTGCAGGGATTCGAGCAGTTCCGCGATGTTTTTCACACAGCAGTACTAGCCAGAGGAAGCTTTTCCCAGAGCAGTGTTCCTCCACTGTTGCACAAGCTCATTCATTTCCTCCGCAGAGCAAGCATCATGGCAGCTGGATCGTATCATTCTTTGGGTTGGAGCCTCTTGCTTGCTCAACAAGCACAGTTGCGGCTCAAGCAGCAGCATTTGCGCGTGAGACAACAACGGGCGACGTGGCGAAGGTGTTTGCGACTCGTCGGTTGTGTCGCTAGTGTCGTCTTGGTTCACTGCATATGCAATGAATATTCGACAAATATTTGTCCGTGAGACCGCGACGTTCGAACGAGTCCGTTGGAGGCACACAGGGAAAGCATTGTAGTCCTAAATAGCCACGCACCTGTTCGGAGCGAGTTCTCTCCTTTTCTTCGCTGCTCTGCCGAGAGATACTTATTTGAGAAACAGCATAGCCTTAGCTGAGGAAGCAGCTAGTGGCTACCGTATCTGCGCGACATCCGCTTGCGACCTCAATAAATACTCCTATGCTTGAGGATACATAAGTTTTGACCCATACCAGCTCCCCCCAGGAGTTAAAGCCGCAATCTTCATATTAATATCTCCGCGTTAGCCGTCTAGCAGAGGTGACTTTTGAGTTGACTAAAAAATCTTCATAGTAATATCTCCGCTTTAGCCGTCTAGCAGAGCCACTCATCATCATGGCCGGATCGCCGGCTTCTGAGGTGAGAGCATCATGCTTGAGAGGCCATGGTCTGAGCATGAGTAGAGGGTGCAAAACGAAGGTGTTATTTGGCGCAGCGGAATGCCTTTAACACAGCCCACAGGCGTTAGACTCATATGGTACTGTCGTCCGAGATCTCCTCGAGGCGGTATGACGTTGTAGTGTTGCATTGTCCGAGAGGCTTCTAAAAGTACTATGTGAAATGGTGTACGCGCAGATGTTTACGCGATTCAGGAAGCCGCACTCAAGGCGCGCGAGTTCACTGCTCTCTGATCCCACAATAGCTGAGCTCCTGCTTTTTTTAAAATGGCTCTGAGTCGCTTTTGAGAATTCTCAAACGCGAGCTCCTGCTTTTTTTAAATGGCTCCGAGCTGGTTCACCCTGGGTATTGACGAGCCCTTTGAAGTTCGCTGAGCTGTTTTTGCCGCTTCCGTTACGTGTGCTGCTGTGAAGCCACAGGGTGACGCCCTCGGTGCAGCATGTTCAACGGAGTCAATGCGTGGTGCCGCCAACCAAGCTGCGCCAGTGGAGTCAGCCACGACCGCCACGTCAGCCGCGGGACCCACGTCAGCTCCGGAGAAAGCGGCGCAGGAGAAGGCCGCAGCGAGCGTGCCTAGTCTGCATGACATCTCGGATCACAGCAGCGAGGAGGGCGATAACGACAGGGAGGAGAAGGGTGGGAAGACGACGGGTGCTGCTGCGGACGGGGAGAAGGACGAGCAGGGAGAGAAGGAACGGGCGAACGGGGAAATCCGTAATGGCAACAGCACTGGCAGCGCTGGTGCTGCTAGTGCTGCTGCTGCTGCTGCTGCTGCTGCTGTTGCTGCTGCGAAGGAGAATGGGAGTGGCGGTGATGGTAACGATGCTGCAAAGCCTGGGCTGCTCGCTGCGTGGCGGCAGAAGGCGGAGCGACTGTTTCCTGGGCTGCTCGGCAAGGTGAGGGCGGCGCAGAGACCTTTTTGAGATAGAGACATATCGAAACTCGTATCCCGTGAGACCTTTTTGAAATGAGAGACGAGTTTTGAGGCGCCTGAAAACTTGGAACGGGTTTCATGCCTGTGGAAGGAACCTTCTTTCTTACGCACCGTGATTCGCCGTTGTTTGATTCGCTTCGCACTCTCTTCATCCTCTCTTTCACTCTCCTTCGACTCTTTCGCCTTGCAGACCAAGACCACTCCCGAAGACCCTGCTGCCGCAGCCACTGCTGGCACTGCTGCTGGCACTGCTGCTGCCGCCACTGTTGGTGCTGGGACTGCTGCTGCTGCTGGCACTGCTGCTGCCGCCACTGTTGGTGCTGGCGCTGCTGCCGGTGCTGGCGCTGCTGCCGGTGCTGGCGATGCTGCTGCCGCCACTGTTGGTGCTGGCGCTGCTGCCGGTGCTGGCGATGCTGGTGCCGCCACTGTTGGTGCTGGCGACGCTGCTGCCGCCACTGGCCCGGATGGTGAGGGGGAGAACCGGGAGGGACGGGATGGGGACGACGAGGGCTCGAGCACGGCGCTTGTGCCAGCAGCAGCAGCAGACGTGCCTGCTCTGCCTCAAGTCGTCGTTGAAGACCCTCCCCTGGTAAACCTCTCCCCTGGTAAGCCTCTCCCCTGGTAAGCCTCTCCCCTGGTAAGCCTCCCCCCTGGTAAGCCTCTCCCCTGGTAAGCCTCCCCCCTGGTAAGCCTCCCCCCTGGTAAGCCTCTCCCCTGGTGAGACCCTTCCCTTGTAAACCTCTCCTTCTCCATTATCCGTTTCGTTCTTTCTCCACCCCCCACCTCCTTCCCTCCCCCGGCCCCCCACTCCCGCCCTTTTCCCCAGCTCCCCTCAGCTCTACTATCCCCTTCCCCCTGCCCTCCAAACAAGTGGCTATCTGACCACGTAAATTGAAGTGTGTTGTGAGAATTCACAGAAGCAAGTTCAACTTCTGATATCCCAAAGACTATCCTTCTTTTCCCCTTCCTCCTGAGGCGCCTCAAAGACTATCCTTCTTTTCCCCTTCCTCCTGAGGCGCCTCAAAGACTATCCTTCTTTTCCCCTTCCTCCTGAGGCGCCTCAAAGACTATCCTTCTTCTCCCCTTCCTCCTGAGGCGCCTCAAAGACTATCCTTCTTTTCCCCTTCCTCCTCGCCACTCCCCCTCCCCACTCTCTTCTTTTCTCTTCGCTCTATCTGCCCCCGTGTTGTTGAATTACTGGTTTGTCTACTCTTCCCTCCTATCGCTTGTTTTTACTTGCATGGATCGTCTCGTTGACCTCCCAATGGCCAGGTGCCACGTGGCAGCTACTGGGCGGTCTTCCAGGCGTTCTTCCTGCTCGGGTGGACGGCGTTCGGCGGCCCGTCCGCCCACATCGCCATGTACCACAAGCAGTTCGTGGAGCTGCGCGGGTGAGTAGGGGGAGTCCTTGGTTGGAGTATGATTGATGAGTGGAGTGCGGGTTTCAGGCTCAAGGGAAGGGAGGAGACTCATACAGCTGACGGGTTGGCCTCTTGCCCGTCCGCCCACATCGCCATGTACCACAAGCAGTTCGTGGAGCTGCGCGGGTGAGTAGGCGAGTGTTGGTTGGGGGTGCAATGGATAAGATTGATGTATCTAAGGGCCCCTTGCCGCCCTCCCTCCCACCCTCAGATGGATGTCTGAAGATGTATTCGCAGAGCTCCTCGCGCTCACCCAGGCAGTGCCGGGCCCATCCAGCACGCAGATGTCAATTCTCCATCGGCATCCTGCACAAGGGCATCACTGGCGGGCTGTTGCTGCTCTCCCAACTAACCAGTGCAAACTCCCCTCGGCCCCTCTTCCCACCCTCCGGACCTTCATCGGCATTCTGCACAAGGGCATCACTGGCGGGCTGCTGTTGTTCCCCCAACCCAACCCAACCAATGCAAACACCTCTTGCTTCCTCGGCCCCAACCCCTCAGCCGTTTCTACTCCCCTATCCCCATGCCTCCCTCACTTCCCCTCCCTTGCAGTTTCTGAAGATGTATTTGCTGAACTACTAGCGCTCACCCAGGCAGTGCCGGGCCCATCCAGCACGCAGATGTCAATTCTCCATCGGCATCCTGCACAAAAGCATCAGTGGCAGATGGGTTGCTGCTCTCCCACCCAACCCAACCACTGCAACCAATCCAAACACTGCTTGCTTCCCCGTCTCCTTCCCCCCTTGCCCCGTTTCTTCTCCCCTCTCCCTATGTTCCCCTCCCCTCCCCTCAGGTGGATGTCAGAGGACGTGTTTGCTGAACTCCTGGCCCTAACCCAGGCAGTGCCGGGCCCATCCAGCACGCAGATGTCATTCTCCATTGGCATCCTCCAGAAGGGCATCACTGGCGGGCTGCTGCTCTCCCAACCAGTGCAAACACCCCTCAGCCCGTTTTCCCACCCTCCGGACCCCTGTCCCTCCCTCTTCCCCATCTTCCCACCCTCAGGTGGATGTCAGAAGACGTGTTCGCTGAACTACTAGCGCTAACTCAAGCAGTGCCGGGTCCATCCAGCACGCAGATGTCATTCTCCATCGGCATCCTCCAGAAGGGCATCACTGGCGGGTTGCTCTCGGGAGCATTGTTCCAGTTTCCTGGAGCCCTCATCATGGCGATAGCTGGCTTCGGCGTTGCAAAGGTGAGACGTGCGGCAGAATGGTAGTGCGTGCACTCTAGTCTCTAGGTGCAGAAGCGCATAAGCGCTCAACCTTCTCCAGAAGGGCATCACGGGCGGGCTGCTCTCGGGAGCATTGTTCCAGTTCCCAGGAGCGCTCATCATGGCGATTGCTGGCTTTGGCGTCGCCAAGGTGAGAGCCTTTTCCCCCTGAGTCCTTCGATTTCACGTTCCTTTCCACGTCAAGAAACGGCACCCTTTTGTCAGTCTTCTGGCCTGATGGATCCCTTTTGAGGCGCCTCAAAAGCCACCCTCCATGCCTGCTCGCCCTGTCAGCGATTTTTGAGAATTCTAAAGAATCGCTCTTCTGGCCTGATGGATGGATCCACCCTTCATGCCTGCTGCTCGCCCTGTCCCCCAGCATCATCCCTGGCAGTGGTAGCTAGCAGTGGCGCTCGTGGTGGTGCAGGCAGGCAGCAGCGATTCTTGGCACTGTGCCGCTGCTGCTCAGCTTTCATACCCTATTTGCACTCACCCCCGCCTGCTCCCGTCCCTGCTTACGCCCCTCCTTATCTGCGCCCCGCCCCGCCGGTCTTCTTCTCCCCTTCCACATCTCCCTCCCCCCACTCTCCCCCATCCCTCGCTCTCTCTCCCAGTTCCTGGTGGATCCAGCTCCCTGGCTCTCTGCGCTCTCAGCAGGCCTGGCAGCGGTGGCAGTAACGTTGGTGGCGGAGGCAGCATTGGTGCTGGGCAAGGAGACGTGAGCGATCATTTCCCTGAACGCCTCTTCACCTATCTGCACCCCTCCCTCTGTACGCATTCAGCCCCCTCTCCCGCCGCCAGTTCCTTATTGATCCAGCGCCCTGGTTGTCCGCGCTCTCAGCTGGGCTGGCAGCGGTGGCAGTGTCGCTGGGCAAGAAAATATGAGCTCTCACCCCTACTGCCACCCCCATACCTATCTGCACCCCTCTGTACCTGCATCCCCTTCCAAATCCTCTCTCCCCTTCCAGTTCCTTATTGATCCAGCGCCCTGGTTGTCCGCGCTCTCAGCTGGGCTGGCAGCGGTGGCAGTGGGGTTGGTGGCGGAGGCGGCAGTGGTGCTGGGGAAGAAGATGTGCCACATCTCACCCCTACCACCGCACCTAACTGCACCCTTCTGTACCTGTATTCACCCCAATTCCTCCGTTCTCCCAGTTCCTCATTGACCCAGCGCCCTGGCTCTCTGCGCTCTCAGCTGGGCTGGCAGCAGTCGCAGTGGCGTTGGTGGCGGAGGCAGCAGTGGTGCTGGGGAAGAAGATGTGTCGCAACAAAGTGACCAGGGTGCTGTGCGTGGCCTCTGCCGTGATTACCTTTTACTACGCCACCCAGTGGATCTTCCCCACCGTCATCCTGCTCGGTATGTATGTGTGAGTCAAGAAGTGTACGCTAGGGCATGCTGCATGTGCTGCTCAGTAACAGGGTGACTCGCGTGCTCTGTGTGGCGTCGGCTGTCATCACCTTCTACTATGCCACCGAGTGGATCTTCCCCACCGTCATCCTGCTCGGTAAGTGATGCTGGGGAGGGGCATAGGCAGCAACGGTGCTGCCAAATGGTAGTGGTGGGTGGGTGAAGGCAGCAGTGGTGCAGTGCAGGGGAAGAAGCTGTGCGTGGCGTCGGCTGTCATCACCTTCTATATGCCACCCAGTGGATCTTCCACACCGTCATTCTGCACGGTACGACGAACCTAGACGTGTACGCTAGGACACAGTGCTGTGCGTGGCGTCGGCTGTCATCACCTTCTATATGCCACCCAGTGGATCTTCCACACCGTCATTCTGCACGGAACGACGAACCTAGACATGTACTCTAGGACACAGTGCTGTGCGTGGCGTCGGCTGTCATCACCTTCTACTATGCCACCCAGTGGATCTTCGCCACAGTCATTCTTCTAGGTAGGTGCTACTGGGGGCCGTGGTGCCGGCAAGAAGATGTGTCGCAACAAAGTGACTCGCGTGTTGTGCGTGGCGTCGGCTGTCATAACCTTCTACTATGCCACCCAGTGGATCTTCCCCACCGCCATCCTTCTTGGTAGGTGTGAATGTGCACTGAGACGTGTATGCCAGGGCTTGTGTTGCTTGGTTGGTGGTAGTGTGTGGCGTCTGCTGTCATCACCTTCTACTATGCCACCCAGTGGATCTTCCCCACCGCCATCCTTCTTGGTAGGTGTGAATGTGAACTGAGACGTGCATGCTAGGGCATGTGCTGCTTGGTAAGTGGTGCTGGTGATAGGGGCGGTGGCAGTGGTGCTGGTGATAGGGGCGGTGGCAGTGGTGCTGGTGATAGGGGCGGTGGCAGTGGTGCTGGTGGTAGGGGCGGTGGCAGTGGTGCTGGTGATAGGGGCGGTGGCAGTGGTGCTGGTGATAGGGGCGGTGGCAGTGGTGCTGGTGGTAGGGGCGGTGGCAGTGGTGCTGGTGATAGGGGCGGTGGCAGTGGTGCTGGTGATAGGGGCGGTGGCAGTGGTGCTGGTGGTAGGGGCGGTGGCAGTGGTGCTGGTGATAGGGGCGGTGGCAGTGGTGCTGGTGATAGGGGCGGTGGCAGTGGTGCTGGTGATAGGGGCGGTGGCAGTGGTGCTGGTGATAGGGGCGGTGGCAGTGGTGCTGGTGGTAGGGGCGGTGGCAGTGGTGCTGGTGATAGGGGCGGTGGCAGTGGTGCTGGTGATAGGGGCGGTGGCAGTGGTGCTGGTGGTAGGGGCGGTGGCAGTGGTGCTGGTGATAGGGGCGGTGGCAGTGGTGCTGGTGATAGGGGCGGTGGCAGTGGTGCTGGTGGTAGGGGCGGTGGCAGTGGTGCTGGTGATAGGGGCGGTGGCAGTGGTGCTGGTGATAGGGGCGGTGGCAGTGGTGCTGGTGATAGGGGTGGTGGCAGTGGTGCTGGTGGTAGGGGCGGTGGCAGTGGTGCTGGTGGCGGAGGCAGCAGTGGTGCTGGGGAAGAAGATGTTGAGAATGTTGAGAATTCTCAAAAATACCCTCCAACAAAGGCGGTGGCAGTGGCGCTGGTGGCGGAAGCAGCAGTGGTGCTGGGCAAGAAAATGTGTCACATCCGAGTGACCCGCGGGCAGTGTGTGGCGTCGGCTGTCATCTCATCACGTTCTATACTATGCCACTCAGTGGATCTTCCCGACAGACCAAGCAAGTGATGTCATCCTACTTGGTACAAACCAAGCAAGTGATGTCATCCTACTTGGTACAAACCAAGCAAGTGATGTCATCCTACTTGGTACAAACCAAGCAAGTGATGTCATCCTACTTGGTACAACCCAAGCAAGTGATGTCATCCTACTTGGTACAAACCAAGCAAGTGATGTCATCCTACTTGGTACAAACCAAGCAAGTGATGTCATCCTACTTGGTACAAACCAAGCAAATGATGTCATCCTACTTGGTACAAACCAAGCAAGTGATGTCATCTTACTTGGTACAAGCCAAGCAAGTGATGTCATCCTACTTGGTACAAGCCAAGCAAGTGATGTCATCCTACTTGGTACAAGCCAAGCAATTGATGTCATCCTACTTGGTACAAACCAAGCAAGTGATGTCATCCTACTTGGTACAAACCAAGCAAGTGATTGCTTCCCTTCTGGGAGGAATCGTCTGTTCATTCATGCTGCACGCTTATTCAAATGCGTCCCTTCTGCCTCATCTCGTCTTTTACCTGCCTCCCCCTCTCCCGCTCCTTTAGTTGCTCCCAGGTGGTGCCGTGACGTATTTCACGGAGCGCAACAAGCCCATTCGCTCAACCTTCTGTCCCTGTTTCCCCCCTTCCCATTCCAATCTCAGGCGGTGCGGTGACGTATTTCACGGAGCGCAACAAGCCCATTCGCTCAACCTTCTGTCCCTGTTTCCCCCCTTCCCATTCCAATCTCAGGCGGTGCGGTGACGTATTTCACGGAGTGCAACAAGCCCATCCCGCCGCAGCACAGCGATATTCAGAGGCCGGGCGTGTCGCCTCTGGTGGGGGGCATGGCAGTATGCTGCTCTCCCCCTCAGCACCCAGCTGGTTTCCGGACCTTTTTGTCCTGATATTGCGCCCCTTTCACCCCTCTCTTCTCCCCCACCTGCCCTCCCTCCTCTCCCCTTCTCTCTTCCTTCTGCCCCCGTCTTATCCTCGTTCTCCCAGGCGGTGCAGTGACCTATTTCACGGAGCGCAACAAGCCCATCCCGCCGCAGCGCAGCGACATTCAGAGGCTGGGCGTGTCGCCGCTGGTGGGGGGAATGCTGCTGTTCGCGTGGATCGGCATTCTGGTCTTTGCCATCGTGTATAAGAACGCCACTAGCTATGAGAAAGCACCGTGGATTCACTGGTTCGAGGTGGGTGGGTGTGTGTGACACTGCGGGTGGTTGTTTGCTCATACGTAGTGTTTGTGTGGTTAGAACGCCCGAAGCATGGATCAGCGTTCTGGTGTTTGCCATCGTGTATAAGAACGCCACTAGCTATGAGAAAGCACCGTTGATCCACTGATTCGAGGTGGGTGGGTGCGTGTGACAACGGGTGCACTTGATTGTACGTAGTGTGCTTGTATCAAAGGGCGTGTGGATTGCCATCGTCATATTCCCCACCGTCTATAAGAACGCCAGGTATGAGAGTGGTGCGTGGTGCGGGGTCCCTGCTCTCCGTGTCTCACAACCCTTACTCCCCTAGCCGACGCTACTACACTCCAGGGCTTCTCCCTCACAGGATCAGTGACGTATGGGGGAGGGCAGGTGGTGCTTCTGCCTGTCTGCCGGCCTGACTCACATCCCTTCCTGTCTCGCCCCTCCTCTTATCTCTCTCACACCCCACCACCGCAGGGCTTCTATCTCACGGGTTCAGTGACGTACGGAGGAGGGCAGGTGGTGCTGCCTGCCTGTCTGCCACAACCCTCCCCGCTCCTCCCTCTCACTCACCCCTTCCTCCCCTCACAACCCCCCTCTGTAGGGCTTTTACCTCACGGGTTCAGTGACGTACGGAGGAGGGCAGGTGGTGCTGCCGCTGCTGGAGAGTGTGGTGATTAACTATGAGACCGTGTGCCCGCCCAACGGTGGAAAGGTGAGAGGAGAGAGAGGGGTTGAGTGCGATGGGGGGGATTGGAGAAGTGGGGGAAGGGGGGTTTCACCAGGGCAGGTGGTGCTGCCGCTGCTGGAGAGCGTCGTGATTGACTATGAGACCGTGTGCCCTCCCAATGGAGGAAAGGTGAGAGCGAGAGATAGAGAGGGGTTGAGTGCGGTGGGGGGGGAATCGGAGAGGCATCGGGGGGGGGGGGGGGCGGGGGGCCAACAGGGCAGGTGGTGTTGCTGCTGCTGGAGAACGTTGTGAGACCGTGTGCCCGGCCAATGGCACGAAGATGAGAGGCTGATTGGGTTTTGAGACGTCTCAAAACTCGGTTGCTGCTGCTGGAGATCGCTGTGAGACCGTGTGCCTGGCCAATGGCACGAAGGTGAGAGGAGAGAGAGAGAGGGGTTGAGTGCGATGAGGGGGGGGTCGGAGAAGCATACGGGGGGGGGGGCACCAGGGCAGGTGGTGTTGCTGCTGCTGGAGAACGCTGTGAACCCTTTTGCCAGGCCAATGGCATGAAGGTGAGAGGCTGATTGGGGTGGGGTGGAAGTGGAGGCATGCATGCGTGGAGAGGGGAGAAGGTGAGAGTGGCAAGGCAGCGTGAGAGCGTGTGCCCGCCCATGGGGGGAAGGTGAGAGAGGGAGGGAGAGGTGAGCACCTAGTGTGGTGATTGCTTATGGGACCATTTGATTATGGGACCATTTGATTATGGGACCATTTGATTATGGGACCATTTGATTATGGGACCATTTGATTACGGGACCATTTGATTACGGGACCATTTGATTACGGGACCATTTGATTATGGGACCATTTGATTATGGGACTATTTGATTACGGGACCATTTGATTACGGGACCATTTGATTATGGGACCATTTGCATTGCCAACGAATGGAAGGTGAGAGGCTGGTTGGGGTGGGAATATGATGGGAGGGGTAAAAGCGTGCTGATTGATTATGATGTGAGATCATTTGCTTAATTTTCCTGTTATCAACATGCCATCTGTCTTGCTGCAAATCGTTTGCATGTTTCGCCGAAATTCGTGCCTGCATTCGACATGATGTGACATGGATGTGCATCTGTTGTGCATACGCTGTGCATGTGACGTGACATGGGATGTGCATGGGATGTGCATGTGACGTGCATGTGTGTTTGTGGTGCATGTGTTGTGCATGTGATGTGCATGTGTGGTGAATGTGATGTGCATGTGTTTTGCATGTGATGTGCATGTGTTTTGCATGTGATGTGCATGTGATGTGCATGTGTGGTGCATGTGTTGTGCATGTGTTGTGCATGTGATGTGCGTGTGTGGTGCATGTGATGTGCATGTGTGGTGCATGTGTGGTGCATGTGTTGTGCATGTGATGTGCATGTGTGGTGCATGTGCGGTGCATGTGATGTGCATGTGATGTGCATGTGTGGTGCAATTGTGCATGTGATGTGCATGTGATGTGCATGTGATGTGCATGTGTTTTGCATGTGATGTGCATGTGTTGTGCATGTGATGTGCATGTGATGTGCATGTGTTGTGCATGTGATGTGCATGTGTTGTGCATGTGATGTGCATGTGCTGTGCATGTGATGTGCATGTGTTGTGCATGTGTTGTGCATGTGATGTGCATGTGTGGTGCATGTGTGGTGCATGTGTGGTGCATGTGATGTGAACGTGATGTGCATGTGTTGTGAATGTGATGTGCATGTGATGTGCATGTGTTTGCATGGGATGTGCATGTGATGTGCATGTGGTGTGCATGGTACCCATGGCAGTGCATTCAAGTGGAAGCCAACACATCATGGGTAACTTCCCAGCAGTTTCTTGCCGGACTCGCTCTTGCACAGGCCCTGCCTGGTCCGCTCTTCAACTTCTCTGCCTACATCGGTGCCATTGTGAGTCTACCTATTGCATGGGTGAGCCATTGTGAGTGTCGCACGTGGGCCTTGTGGGTGTGCTGTTGGGCCACTTTACATTACTCAACATTCAGGAACAGGCCCTGCCTGGTCCGCCCTTCAACTTCTCCGCCTACATTGGTGCCATTGTGAGTCTATCTATTGCATGGGTGAGCCATTGTGAGTGTATCTATTGCGTGGGTGAGCCATTGTGAGTGTATCTATTGCGTGGGTGAGCCATTGTGAGTGTATCTATTGCGTGGGTGAGCCATTGTGAGTGTACTGCACGGGTGAGCGATTGGGAGGGTGAATGTAGGCCGTGTGGGTGTGTGTGCTGCGTGGCCACTCTACATTGCTCAACACTCGGGCACAGACCCTGCCTGGTCTGCACGTCAACTTCTCTACATTGCTGCGTGGCCACTCTACATTGCTCAACTTCTCCGCCTACATTGGTGCCATTGTGAGTCCACTACATGTTTGAGCAATTGTGAGTGTATTACATGGGTGAGCAATTGTGAGTGTATTACATGGGTGAGTAATTGTGAGTGTATTACATGGGTTGCATAAATGTGATGGGCCATCATGGATATCGAGTGTTGTGAGTCGACTCAAAATAAGCCCGCAGGCACACGGAGCCTGATCTTGAAAATTCTCAAAATCAACCTACAATAAGCCCGCAGGCACACAGAGCCAGCAGGCACACAGAGCCAGCAGGCACACGGAGCCAGCAGGCACACAGAGCCGGTGGGTTGGTCCGGCATCTTCACCCAGCCGGCATCTTCATCAGGTGTGGTGTCGTCCTGCACTTCTGATGCCGACCCTCCCACCACTTTCTGCACATTCCTTCGCCCATGCCCATGCCCATGCCCATGCCCATGCCAATTCCCTGCACAGGTGGGGGGGATGGGCGGTGTGATAGCATGCTGGTTTGGCCTCTTCTCGCCAGGCATCCTCATCATCTATGGCGTGCTGCCCTTCTGTTGTTAACCATTTCCCTCTTTTCTCTATGCACAAAATCAACACCTCCATGCGTACACATTGCACAGGTGGGGGGGATGGGCGGTGTGATAGCGTGCTGGTTCGGCCTCTTCTCCCCCGGCATCCTCATCATCTACGGGGTGCTGCCCTTCTGGGGCAAGTTCCGCAAGTGGAAGCTGTAAGAGGAAATCATATGATTTACCCTTTTTTTGTTGCTATTTTTTGTTTCCAGTTCGTGTCATGTCCAGATTTTTGTAGCAGTTGATAATCAATATCTGTCTACTGTCTATGTAACCTATTTTCCTTTCAACACCGCAGGTACAAGCGTGCAACACCGGGCTTCAACTCAACCGCAGTAAGTGTGCTTATACTGTGTGCATTGTTGTATCCTGTTAGTATCACATGGTTCTGCCCCCATCTGTTAGTATCACATGGTTCTGCCCCCATCTCAAATATGACTTATGCGGTCATGTCAACAGCTTCCCATTGGCTCATCTGAGCGTTTGTGTGTTCTTGGAGGTTCAAGCATTACCCATTTCCTTATGAAATTACCTTTTTAGTTGCATTACCTCTTGCCATGCAGCACCTGCTGACATGTACCATCAATGCCATGCATTACCTCATGCCATGCAGCACCTGCTTCCATGCACCATCCATGCCATGCACTACCTCACCTCCAGATTAACCTCTTCTGGCTCTCAGTTTCTCCCTCAGCCTCACATTTCAGAATTCTCAAAAGTGACTACCACTCAGCCTCAAGACGTACGAAGGCAGCTCCTTTCGGTCCCCCACCTGCCCCTTCCATTCCTCCCACCCCTTCCATCCCCTTCCTCTTTGCCTCCTACACTTCTCTCACCCTTTCCAGATTGGTCTCATCTGGGCGTCAGTGTTCTCCCTGGGCCTCAAGGTGTACAAAGTCAGCCCCTTCCCCATGGCTTCACTCTGCATTGCCATGATTGGATACGCTGCTACCAATTTCCTCAAGGTACGTTGATGCGTAACACAGTTACTGTTTTGAGTCGACTCGCATTTTGAGTCGACTCAATACGCAGCTACCAATTTCCTCAAGGTACGTTGATGCATTACACAGTTACTCTGCTTCAGCCTTTCGTAACAGTGAATCATTTGTAAGTTGCTTTTCTTAGTTTCAAGGAGTTACACATCCAAGAACTGGCCCTCTATGTCTGTGGGTGGCATCTCATTTTGTAACATCGTCGTGATGATTACTTGACAACCACTAGCTATCCGTTCTGGATTTCATCACATCTGTTACCTGCTATGTGCCTGTGCTTGACGTTTGGTGTGATTTCAGATCCCTGCTCCGCTTGCCATCGTAGGTGGGGGAGCGCTAGGGGTGGTAGCATGGGCCACTAACATGCATTAGCTTGGACAGCTCTTTCCCCTGTTTTGTTTGTTTGTTTTCCTTGTACATGCTTTCATGTACCGTATGTCACATGATTGTGGATGTTTACTTGAAGCACTTGAGTCTCCTTGGCAATAATTAGTTTCAGGTTAGACTACATCCGTATGACCATCCCATCCATCTTTCTTGTCAGCATTTTCTGTTAGCGAAGAAAGGGCTTCACAGTAACATTTTCGGGAATTTTGGCAGAGGGCGCACAGGTGCTGGCGTGGATTGGAACAAGGGGTCTGGGATTGACCATTGTGTCACCTCGAGGTCGTATGCTTAGTAGCTGAAAATGTACCCAGGTGTCGTTCTACTAAGAAACTGTTCTCTGCTCCGAGGCCTCAACTTGCGGTTTTCACGCACGCCCTCGGCCCTCAATTCCCTCGGTCCCGTGAAAATGCACTCGCCTCGAAACCAGATTCGAGATTTGCTTGCTGTCTCCGTTCCGCCTCTCCGTATATCAATCACTCTGCTTGCTGTCGCCTCGCAAGCTTCTTCTGGTTACGTTTCTTGGCCTTTCGGTTGTTCCTGTGCTTTTGTGGCTCGGCTTGGTAGAGCCATCGTTAGATCCGCATTCTGTAATCTCGTGTCTTATCCTGCTCGACCTTCCTTCTTGCGTGGAGAGACACGAGGCGAGTGCGCCTTCACGGCAATCTCGAAGTCACCAACAGGCATATTGGGTTACAGATCTACATTACCGATCGAAACACGTTCTGGCCTAGTCTCTATTGAAGTAAAAGCTACTGAGCGTTTGCGAGTGCAGATCCGTCCACTTTTAGAATCGACGGCTCCTTTCGTTCCTACTGGGTCCGTTGATTTAATCCAATGGCCGGAGTACTATGTCGATCCCTAAGAACCAAGAAAACCAGGATACCGTGGATCGCGCTGCTGCTTGTGGCATTCCTAGCAACTGCCACGTGGCAGCGCGCCATTGCTTCCGCCAAACAGCTTGAGGGATTTGACGAGGACGAGTTTGACGACGCTGCGGACGAGGAGGAGACGGAATTCGTCGCCCCTCAGCATCCTCCGACGCGATCCGTCACGCTCGAGCCGGATCAGGGCACAAAAGCAACGGCTGGATCTGATCGAGATCCCAAATCAACGGACACCACCGCACCCGACGGACCAGAATCCGCTGGCGGCAGCGGGGGTAGATCGACAGGACAAGGGGCGGATTGGGATGACGAGGAGTTTGAAGGGGTGACGCCCGGTGCTGGCGCTGGTGCTGGTGAATTTGGCGTTGGTGCTGGAGGAGCAGCGGCCGGGGGAAAGTCGTTTTTCGGCAAGCCTGGATCCGCGCAGCAGCAGGCGCAAGCGCAGCAGAAGGCACGCGCGCGGAGAATTTCGGTTCCGCGGAAGCCGTTCCACCCGCGGGATTTCATTGCGGAAGGGATTTTCCTTGCGTTCCTCGTGATTTTTGCGATCAACTATTTCATCGGCAAATGGCAGAACGAAAAGATTGCGCTCTCTTTCGCGAATCAGTTCGCGACGGAGGGTAATCTGCTCGCGAAGAACTTCGCCCTGATCGGCACTGGCGACACCAGCGAACCGATCCTCGTTAAGGAAGGCCAGGCGACGTTCAAGTTGTACGCGAGCGGGCGAAGGTTCTGCGAAGCGATGCTGGTTACCCTGAACCTGCGAAGTCGCCACGATCTCGCGACGCTCGCATGGGACGCGCTCCTTTCGTCAAAGAAAGATCAAGTCGACGTGGACGTGTACATGAACGAGGAAGACATGGCTCCGTTTGTACTCGCTATAGTGCCGCGCAAATCCGCTAAGGCGTTTATAAAAGAAAACGCGGATCTTAAGGAGTTTGCGAGCATGCTTGACGCGGAAGTGGTGCTCAAGGGAGGAGGCGGGAGCGGGAAGAACAAGTGGGCGGCAGACGAGTTGGCTATTATCGGGGATAGCAGGGAAGCTGCGTATGAGCTTCTGTCTGACGTCATCATCGATCAGGTAACAACGTACAACGATACGAGTGTGTGACAGAGATTTTTCCCCGTTTTTCTGTTCATCGCATTTCAGCAAATCCTCTTCCCATCTCGATTGCCTCTCCCCCTTCTCTCCCCCTCTCCTCCCCTCCCCCCCCTCCTCCCCCCCCCCTACTCCTCGTTATCGCATCAACTCACACTTTCCTCCCATAGTTGCGCCTTTCCTCCCCTAATCCCTCACATTTCGCGCTTCCCGCATCCCCCCCCCTCCTCTTTCCTTCCCCTTCGCCTCTTTCCCTCCACTCTTCCGTTCCACGCCTCCCTTCGCCCCTCGAGTGCCCAGTTTCACCATCCTTCCCCTCTTCCCTTCCGCCCTTCCCTTCCTTCCCTCCTTTCCCCTTTCCCTTGTCCAGTCTCACCATTTCTCTCCTCTACACACCCAGCAACCGCACCCCCGAAATACAACCCCCAGCGCTTCGCCAAGATTTTTCTGTCCCAAGCTCATTTCTCGTCTACCAAGCTCATGTCCGCCCCCTTCCTTTCCCCATCTTCGTTCCTCACATCTCCTCACTACCCCCTTACCCCCCGTTTTCTTTGCCCCATATCCCTGTACCCCCATCCCTTTACACCCCATCTCCTTACTTCCCATAGCCTACCCCCTCTTCCCGTCCCCGTACCCTCCCCCCCACTCCCCCCCTCCCCCTCTTCACCCAGCTATTCGGGGAGAAGTCCTTTCTCAAGCTCGCGCCTCTCTTCCGCGCCTTACACTTCATGGACCAGCACCCCACAGGCGCAGGCGCGAACACCTTCTCACCTATCCCCCTTCCTCCGACCCCCTGTATCCCTTCCCCCTCCCCCCCCCCCAAGCTCTTTGGCGAAAAATCTTTCCCAAAGATAGCGCCTCTCTTCCGCGCTCTGCACTTCACAGACCAGCACCCCCACGGCAGCAGGCGCGCAGCTTCTTACCTATCCCCCTCCCCCTTTCTCCTGCCCCCCCGGTATTCCTCGTCCCACCAGCTCTTTGGCGAGAAATCTTTCCCAAAGATAGCGCCTCTCTTCCGCGCTCTACACTTCACGGACCAGCAACCCACAGGCGCAGGGGCGCACCGCAAGGTGCTGCGCTTCTCCTTCCTCCTGCCCCGGGGGGGTGCTGCCGAGCTGGCGAAGCTGATGGCGTCTGTGCCTTTCTTCATTGACGCTGTGGGGAAATTTCGACTCAGCGCCCAGGTAAGCTGGCTTTTCTCCTCTGGCCCCTTTAAGCACAGTACCCTGAGTACCCTGTGTACCCTGTGATTGCTCTCTCCTTGCTGCCTTAACACGCTGCTGACCTGGCGAAGCTGATGGCGTCTGTGCCCTTTTTCATCGACGCTGTGGGGAGATTCAGACTCAGCGCCCAGGTGAGCCACTGCCTCCCTTAGTCCCTGAGCACAGTACCCTAAGAGACTAATCTGCCTTTCTGAGACGTTTCAACTCACGAGGTTTTTACCGGCCCAGCACCCAGCGAACGAGCTCTTAAAAATTGCATCTGAGAGCTCTCAAAAGTGCCAGTTGTTTTTTTTGTTTTTTGTGTCAAAAAGATGGGCTTGCTGCCTTGCTGAGGCCAGGAGCAAGGCAGAGGCAGCACTGAGAGGGACTGAGACGAAGGAGAGGCTGCAGGAAGAGGCTTGCTTCTCTCATTTACCTGCACTCTGCTTCTCTATCCCTCCTCCCCGCCGCTCGAATCTGACAATTGAATCTGTTTCAGGCCAAGAACAAGCCAGATGCTGCGTGGGCAAAAGCAGCGGAGGTGGCACTAAGGGTTACAGCAGAGACGAAGCAGGAAGATTTTTGCTTCTCCCATTCACCTGCACTCTATTCCTCCTTCCCTGAACATCGTGCTCGTTTCAGGCGAAGAGCAAGGCAGAGGCACTGCGGGTAAAGGCATCAGAGGCGGCACTGAGGGAGACGAAGGAGAAGAGGCAGGAGGGTTTTTGCTTCTCTCATTCACCTTCACTCTGTTCTTCCTTACCTGAACATCGTGTTCTTTTCAGGCCAAGAGCAAGGCAGAGGCACTGCGGGCAAAGGCAGCTGAGGTGGCACTGAGGGAGACGAAGGAGAAGAGGCAGGAGGAGTTGCAGCGGAGGAAGGAGGAGCGAAAGAAGGCAGAGGAAGCGAAGCTGAGCCCTGAGGAGCTGGCAAGGCGGCGAGAGAAGGAGAGGATGAAGGAGCTAAAGCAGAGCGCACCGCGTGCCAAGATTTCAAGGATGCATTGATTGATTTTGAGTGATGGATTGCCTGATGGCAGAGGAAAGCAGAGGAAGCGAAGCTGAGCCCTGGGGAGCTGGCGAGGCGGAGCGAGAAGGAGAGGATGAAGGAGCTCAAGCAGAGCGCACCGCGTGCCAAAAATCGAGAATGCATTGGTTGTTCTGAGGGTACATTCCGCTGTGGACACTGTCCCAATCGATGTGTCCCAATCGATTGTGACGCGTACGTACAGCATATGCTGCCAGGTGTCAGAATGCCGGGCCGCCCGTGGTTGTCGCCAAATGTATTTATCATTGGGTGACGTGAAACACGGAGCAGTCGCCAGCTAATTGCAACACAGTCCATCAATCGCACGCGGTGCCAAATGTCAACACATGCAGCATGTATCTAGACGGCATCTCCCCAAAACCCACTATCCCCATCAACGCGTACACTTCGTAGTGATTGGTCCAGACGACACACCCGGAATTATTGACAGGGACGCGCACGTCCCCGCCAGTGCGCCTTCCCCCAGCTCCAATGCTCCTTCCCCACAACTCCTCCATCTCCCAACACCTTACGGGTTCATCTTCGTGCACCATCCTTCCTGTTCCAATCTGTTCATTTCTCTCTGCTCCCGCTCCCTAAAGATTTAGATCTAGAAGCACTCTATCCGCCAGCATGGCTCGTAAGCGTAAGGGGCAGGCCCTTAACGACTGCCCCAAGGATCTTGACGACATTCCTTACATCCGCTGGATGAACCAGCAGATTGCCGACGGACGCCATCCGAAGGGATTATCCGCGCCGCCCGTGCTTGACGGCCAGGGATCCAGTGCACAGTCGCCCAGTGCGGCCCCGTTACGTGTGCGTCGTCAGCCTGCAAGGACGGCTGCAACACACTGGCTTGTCGTGGAGCAAGATGCGTACGATGACGATGATGACGACCCCGAACAAGGCCTCGACACCGACGACGACGAGGAGGAACCGGAAGACGCTGGGATGTCGCCCAGCGACGGCGATGATGAAGATGAGGACGCCGAGGACGACGTGGAGGAGGAAGCGCAACCTGTGTCTGTGACTACGAAACGGAGTGCCGCACGCGCATCTGGGACGAACAAAGGCAAAGGCAAGGCGGCGCCACCATCGCCACGCCAGGAGCCACGGAAGAAGCGGTCGGCTGCACCAGTCGAGAGGGGCTTATGGTCGGACAAGGAGAGCACCATATTCGCCGCGGCGAAGTGGTTCATGAAAGAGGAGCTCGGGCCTCTCAAGGGGAAGCAGGGGACGCAATACTGGGTCCGACTACTCGCGCACATCAAGGAGTCGAACCCTGGATGGTGCAGGGGTGTCAACGCGTTGCAGAAGCAGTGGAGTAACTTGACGCTCCTCTGGCGGGAGTACAAGCGTGGCGACGGGGGGTCAGGCCACGGCTCGGTTGAGAAACCACCGTGGTATCTGTACATGGAGCTGCACAGCCAAGACACCGCCGCAGTCGCTCCGCATGCGGTGGACGGCGGCGGCGCCACGGACGTCAACGTGCCGGCCGGCATGGAGGTTCCAAGTTCGTCTCAGCCAGGCACGTCAACACCAACCTTTACGGGTGAGTCGTGCTTTCTATCACCTCTAGCTTGATATGCGTTTGACTTATCGTAGTTTGACTACGATGAATCCGTTTATTTTATTCGCCAATATGCAGGTTACATCAAACAAGGGTAGTCGGACTAATCGAAACTACTATTTTCCCCGCTCCTCTATCACAACTCCGCCGCCGCCGACCACCGCAACACCTAGGCGCGCACGGGTGCATGAGACGGCTACCATGCAAGCAGCCAAGCTGGTCTCCGCGACCATCAAGGATTGTCACGGTGACGCGATGACGCGCATTGAGAGCCTCGTCCGTGAATGGATGGCGCAGGACATGCGACTTGCCCGCTAGCGCATGACTGAATCGGCGCCCCCGGACGTGCACCGTGCGCCGCCGGATTTCAGCCCTCCTCCGCCACGCGGGGAGTCTGCACCACCTCTCGAAGCCGCACAGCATGGCGACGATGTTGGCGACGTCAACACCGTCACTCCGGGTGCTGAGGATGTGGAGATATGGGTGCGCGGCGCCGACGATTAGCGTAAGAGTCCTGCAGGGCCTCACCCAGTCTTTTCCGCCTCTCTCTCAGAGCCTGTTGTGTTGGGGGAACACAGGGTTCCCACTTGTGTGTCGCAATGGCACCCCGTGTCCACCAAGAGTCGCGGTTGCGGGGCAGATTGAACCAGGCCATGTTCTTGCGCCTAATGACTGTCATCTCTTCACACAAGTTGTGCAGGATCACACAACACGCGGCTCCTGCGAGAATGCGCCACAACCTGCAGTCGTTGCGCCCGCCGAAGATGCGCCATCTCCCTTTCAAGGCGCCGATGCACCGTTCCACCGCCATGCGTGTGGCGCTCTGGCAGTAGTTGAAACATTGGGCCCAATCGTCCATTAGGTCCTCTCCGCGCGGTGCATGCAGGGGGGTTAGGCAGTATTCTCGTAGCGGGTAGGCCGCATCCCCAACAATCTGGTATGGGGCTATGTCCCCGTTGTGTAACCTCTCAAGTAGTGCAGACTCTTTGAAAACCCGCATGTCGTGCGCACTGCCGGGATAGCCGATGAGGTAATCCCATATCCTGCCTCGTGCATCACACGCGATTTGGAGCTGAACGGCGTAGGCCGACTTCCTTGTCCAGTACTCCGCCCTGTGCCCTTCCATCCCTTTCATGTGGATGTGAGTCCCGTCCACAGCCCCCACCACTGCAGGTACACCTTTGATGGCAGCGAATTCACGCGCCATCTCGAGAAGTTCATCGCGTGTGGTAAAGCGCACCCAGGCGGCCTTGAAGACAGAGGGGAACTCGGTGAGGAACACGTCAACAAGCTCGTGGCATAGTGTCTTGGAGACACCGAACAGGTACGACATGTCGACGAATGAAATCCCACTCGCCAAGTACTTTATTGGGATGAGCAAAGCAGTGTCCATTGTGATTATCGACCGATGGACGATGGGCTCTAGATATTGTCGCATCCCAGACTTTACATGCTCAAGTATGGCGCGGTTGATCCTGAATATGTCTTGGAAATCGTTCTCCCGCATGTGTTGCAGGTCTTCAACCCACAAAGCATGACGTCGCCGCCGTACACTCGCTCTGTGACGGCGGTTCTCCCCGGTGTCGTCCCCGGACGATGAGGACTGCTCGTCCGCGTCCTCAAACACACCGGACTCTATGAGGCCTACGAAGGACTTCGCGACATTTTCGTAGAAAATAGTGTAGTAGTAGGTGACCCAGGCGACGAGGAGGCGTAGGATGAAGGGGATGGCTCTAGGCTCTGCCATCATGCGTGGATTATGCGTGTGTAGTAATGGTGTCTGTGCTATGTTTGATTATAAAAACTGACGTACTAGAGGATGATTTACAGATGTATGTGCCGTTGAGGCAATTATTGGCACTGCGGAGGAGTACTGTACCCTCCGCGGCCTCCCTGGACATCACCAAGGATCTACCGCGGACCTGGAGGTGTTGGTGTATGTGCTGCGCAAGGACGAGTGGGCATGTTTATTCTATGACCAATCACAAACGTTCGCACATAATTGTCGCGCGTCTGTACAGAGTCGCAATACATCGATCGATTGGGACATGCAAACTCGAGACATTTGAGCACGACTCGGCCAAATCGTGATTGGGACACATCGATTGGGACATGGTCCACAGCGGAATGTACCCTGAGTGATTGATTGATAGCTACGGGTGCATTTGTTGATGCCACTAGTGTGATGGTAGATGCGTTGAGAAGGAGAGGATGAAGGAGCTGAAGCAGAGCGAACCGCGTGCCAAGATTTCGAGAATGCATTGACTGTTCTGAGTGATTGATTGATGACTACGGGTGCATTTGTAGATGCCATTAGTGTGATGGTAGATGCGTTGAGAAGGAGAGGATGAAGGAGCTGAAGCTGAGTGCAGCGCAGGCTAAGATCTCAATAATGCATTGATTGATTGAATTGAGTGATGGATTGCCCTTGGCTAAGTAAGGCGGAATAGGCAACCAACACGAAATAGACAAACCGGTTTCTGATAATTTCACACCCCGTATCTGCATACCTTGGGGTACCCCCTGTCAAAGTACAATCTTACTTGTAGGATATAAAGGGGCACTCCTTATGGGGTACAGCACTTCTTATAGTGAGAATGATTGAATTGAAAAGGAAGTGAGTACAAGTACTAACCCTAATTGGGTTGTACCCCTTGAGGGCTACCCCACTACAGCCTACACAATATAAGCACTAAAACATTTTGACACACCCCCATAGGCAAAGTGGGGAGAACAAGTGGTCACAAGACCAGTCAAGAAAAGCAAAACAAGCTCAGGGTGGATCACAAAGTCACCACACATTCTGAGCACAAGCAAATGGCCACAAGGCTAGTTCACATACAGAGTTATATAAGAGAGAACAAACAGTACAGCGATCATACCCTAGCAAGTGTAAGCATGCATGTATATATATAGATCACAGTACAAGCAAAGTCATGCAGTGAGCAAGTGAGGCAAAGTAGGCACAAGGCCTAAAACAGTAAAAGAACGCTGATGATCACCAGACAGAAGTGCCTTGGTGAATATATCAGCATTGTTGGCCCTAGTGGTCACGTAAGCAAGACAAAGCTGACCACACTGCTGCAACTCTCGAGCAAGGAAGTAACGCAGAGCGATGTGCTTCGTTCTGTGCTCCAGTCTGTGCTTCTCACACAAGGCAATCATTACCTTGTTGTCTACGTACAGAACTGGAGGAGAACGAGGCCGCTCTCCCAAGTCGGTCAGCAGGTAGGTGAGCCAGCGTAACTCCTGTGCAGCCATGGCCCTTGCGTAGGTCTCAGCCTCACAACTGGAATTGAGAACAGAAGACGAGCAGGTAGGCCGCCAAGAAATAGAGCCGGAGCCAAGGCTGAAAGTGTAACCCTGTGACGGCCGCTGAGTAGCCAAGTCGTCAACCCAAGAAGCATCTGC